CTCGCAGCTTCCTGATCCTGACATATTGTAATTGAAAATTCCTCATAGATATGGAATTGTGATCCTGAATAGAACACAGAAGTTACGGTTCGTTTCAATTAACGCTGACAAGGCTGTACTCCGGAATCTTTATTTATAGTGAGATAAGCACTTCATTGAGCATTCATCAGAAAGATTAATAATCAAATTTATATTTTATCGGGCTGGTGTATCTTGAATCATCTTGAATATGTATGGCTTTCTTTATAAAATCTGGTTAGCTTCAAAAGCGAAACTTCCAGAATTTCATATTAGTGACGATTAAACAGTTTTTGTTATTTTTTACAATTTTAAATATTTATTCAAACAATATTCTTCTTGCAGGTTTGAGACAAATGTTTATAGTTAATAATACCAAGCACGGATAATAATTAATTATTATTTTTATCATTTTTAAATATTTATTTTCATAAATTTGTGTTTTTTAATAAGCACGTCTTCAATGGCTTTAACAATTTGCATGGTTGTTTTGATGATTTTTTCATTCGCTTCTACAAACGATAGATAATTATAAAATTAAATATTATCAGTTTAATCAAGCCGAATTTAACTATTCAATAAATTTTCTCAAACCGGTCTACATCCGTAAAAAAAAGTTATTTAAAAAGGGGCTTAATATTTATTTATTTATTTGCGATTTTTCCTTTGTTTCCTCAAAAATAATGTCACAATTTCATAAATAAAGCATTTGTACAAACCATATAAAGGTTTAAAATTTTCAATGGTTTCCTAATTTGTCTTGCAAAGTAAAAGTGAATAAATTTATTCTTGGAAGAATTGACACGCCGTTGCTTCACCGACTTGAAAATTTGAATGGGTCAGTTTCCGTCTCTGCAGCAGCGAGCGTTGCTAATAATGCATGGAAATGCAATTCAACAATAAAATATACGCGAATTATTATTTACTTTCGTGCCGAACGGAAACGCAGATTTGGCGAAAGTGGCTGATTGATTCGTTTCACTTCCCTTTGCATCTCTCACGCCGGCAGGAAGCGATGGCGCGGTGCAAATCACGAAAATCGACCAATTTTTTCCGCTGCAACGGCGAATAAAAAAAGTATCGGCGAGGCGTGTGTGCAGAAAAACGTCTGTCAGTCACCGTTTGAGCGCGAGGCACGCTTTCTTGCGGCGGCATTTTGTGCCACTGGAGCACTCTTGGTTTCTAATTTTTATATAGCCGCACGTCTTTCTCTTTCTCGGCAATTTTCGATCAAAATAAATACACACGCGCCGCAAAAGAAAAAGTGAGAGACGCATATTCTAACGCACGACACAAGCATCACGGTTGACCACGATTTTCTCATAGTTTAGTCTGCATCCAATTTAGGATATTTTTTTTCACGCCAAGTGAATCTTTGACGGGCCGCAATATAACAATAAGGAATCGAACTGTAAAAATAATGCAAATATTTGCGCATAACTGTGTTTGGAAATGGCAAATATTTGCCGGCGCGTGAGTAGAAGAAATTTGACTTGGGGTTTACAGTGTGTGCCAATCAGTTTTGTGCGCTCCTTTTCGCGCTCGGCAAACTTTCCAAGTAAACAAACTATTAGAACTGAGTGAGCTCTCTGCGTAAAGATTTGTTTTAACTTTTCTGCTGTTGTTTTCGTCAGTTGGCTGCCGGCAGTCAGGAAATTTTTGCGCATATATTTGGTAACGAGTTTCTCTACACTATAAATTTGACTTTAAAAGCAAGGTTTATTTATCATTTGTATTCAAAACATTGAAGATAGTATAAATTAAACTATCATAATAAGTCAGATTTATTTAAATAATTAAATTATCCATCTTAAGACAATTATTTAAACATTCAAAAGACGAAACCATTTTTACTTTATTCCTTAAATCCACATTTTGATAATGTAGTGAATGCAATTTTAGCAATGTTTCCTTTTTTCTAATGAATATTTTTCCGTTTTAACACGTACATTAAAAATTGCCTTACATGCTAATTTATTGAGATAATAGGTTTAGAAATTTTCCGGTTTCTTTTCTATTTTCTTGACTATTTTTGTTTTTACACCTCGTCATTATTTTCCTTCCAAAGGTATATTTTTTCTGGATATTTTTCTTGTCACTCTCACTTTTTCTCCATTTGAAAGCTTTTCTCTCGTCATGCATAAGCTAAGTTAATGAAGAAATTTCAAGATTTATTTTTTATTTTTTCAACTTATTGTAAATTTTATGGTGCGTAGAATTTTTCAACTTCATCGGAAAATTTTAATGAATTTAATGAGTTAATGTCTTAAATGAAAGCCAAATCTAAAAATAACAAGAATCCTGTCATCGAGACCCACGCGTAAAAGTTGCAAGAATGATTTGCAGAGTTGACAACGCATTCGCCGAGAAGGTCTTCTCCAACATTAGAAAGTAGTTTTGGAAAAAGATTGATTTACGAGCATGAAAAAACTGAGTCAAGTTTTGTACAATCTCATCGAAAGTGAATATAAAAAAGTCAGTGCGACACGAATTTCTAAAACGCGGCGTGTCCTCAACAAGTGCGAGTGGCCCAATTAGCGTCGTCGTCCCTTTTATAGGATGGAAAAAAACGTGATCGCTCGACGATTGCTCATTTCATACGCGCGGCCCCGATGACCAGCCTGATGACCTTTACGGCGGCAGACGATGTAAATGCCACCTTCTCGCGGAATGCACGACGATGACAACCGAATTGCAACACCCACTTTTCTCTGTGGGTCGTGCGCTTTATGAGATTGTCAGAAGAAATTCTCTCGCGCGCTATTGCAACGTGCACCGTGTGAAGAGAAGTAGCGCCGATTAATCAGAAACGTTTTTCCGCGTGTCGACGTCCTCGGGCCGATTTGTTTCGATTATTATTTGCGCGCTTTGCACTTGCACCGAACACAATTCTTGCGTGCAAAATCAATTTGTCACATGCGCTGTGTTTCAGATGTGTTTGTTCTCAGCAAGGTAAACGCGCGGTTGTCAGAGACTTTCAAAGAGAGCACAAATAGCGTCAGTTTTCAGCTACCTGCATTGACCGAGGATGCTTTGAAAAGTTTAGCACTGACCTTGTTTTTTTGTTTGAATAAAAAAATTATTGTTAAAAATATTAACCGATATTTGGATTAATGAAATCAAGTTTCAACCAATGATTATAAATATTTAATTACATATAATTAGTAAAATAAATTTTGTGCTTTTAAAAAGCAGTTTTCAAATCTCGGAGAAGTAGAATAATTAATTTATTTACACTTAAAATTTTAGCATGAAAATGCAGGGTTGAATCAATATGTTATAATCCAATGGTCCACTCTACAAAATGAATTTCTCTTTTACAATTAATGAATTAATTTATTATTTAAGAAGTTATTGTTACTTCATCAAATAACATTCTAAAAATTTGAAAGGTGCAATTTAAACAATAAAATTGGAACCAAGGAAGTTTTACTTTCAAAATAATGAAGAACCACTTTTCAATTTTTCATTGTTCTTCAAGAGATTTTAGTCATTTTAGGTTGCCGCCCAGGAACTCCTTAATGACATTTTTCTGCATTAGTATCTGCCTTGACCCGCACTTAAGTGACTTATAAGTGCAGATCAAGGTATTATTTATCCGGAAAATGAAAATCCATTTGTCTCCGAAAGGTTAAAAATATTCACATCCTCTTCAAACAAAACTGGCTGGTTTAAATATTTTCTTGTGAAATTATAATTGGATAATTACTTAATTTCTCATTCTTGGCAAAAATTGCAATAAAAAGCTCTTAAAAATGGCATTATTTGGAAACAGCGGTTGTAAATATCAATTTGCCAAAATCCAAAATTGTAAATTTTACGACTCTTTACGCTTAAAGTGGAGACAAAATAACTCCCGCAATTACAATTACTTTTATTATTTTTATGCCTCTCATGAATAAATTTTACTGTAAGAAAGTGGCCAAATCTGACATTTTCAAATAAAATCTCGCCTCGCGTTTTTTCTTCTTTTTGCACGCGAATAATTGAGTTGTTTGAAATATTGGGAGCATCTCCGTCCGTTTATTGCCGAAAAGATGGCCCTCCGGTTGTAAAAAATTAATTTATGCCAGACGAAAAACGGAACACTCATGCCTGAACAATGTGAGGCCGTGATTTAAATGGTGCACGTATATGAAATGTGTAATGATAAAAAATGGATGGCTCGTCTTTATTATGCCACTTTCGTGCGAAGGTCTGCGCAATTATGGACGTTTCTTTCTCTCGCTCGCTCCCCCTCACAGTTTCTTGCCAAATAGACCTTCTCACTCAAATTGTATGCAAATTCGATACGCGATGAAATAACATCTATATATACGCGCGCCTCACCTCGAAGTTGCTCTTCGTACTTGTTACACAAAGAGAGAACGCTCACTTTTCTCATTAAATATTTGCCAGTTTGCGAAGAACCACTTTGCACTTTGACGTCACGGTTCTTCTGCATTGATTAAAATTTGAACTAAAAAACTTCAAGAAAAATAAAATAAAATCATGGAAATTTTTATTTTATTTTCTAAAATATTCCATTTATATGCGATTTATTTTAAATCTAGTTCAGATTATTTCCGTGTTTATTAATTAATAAAAATTGCATTAGGAACGGAAATAAATATTTTCAGCCCAAATAAATAAACTGTTTATGTGTCTCTGTATATTTCTTCAATTAATTAAAATTGTGTTTGCTCCGAAATCATCCTTTGAGGAACCTCAATTTTTTTTTAATTAATGAGAAAATTCAAATAAATGGTGGTTTTCAGGAAGGAAACTTGTTACTTGAACAGTCTTGTTAATTACGTAACGAATAAAATTTCCCTCACATTAGCCTCATTTACCATTCGGTGAAAAAAAAACTAATGAAGCCCATAGTTAAAAAAGCCTTTCTCGAGAGCAGCTTTGCGAATTTTTCATAATTAGCCAAATCAACGAGAGTTTGGAAGTTTGTAATTTAATTTCTCAAACGTATAATTAGTGGATAAACTTACCTTATAGAGCTTATCCTTCTGGTACCAGACATCCTCCTCAGGCACTTCAACGGTGTCCAAGTTCAGGTCATCCCTGGAGCGCGACAGAATTCTCCTTCTGGAGACCATTTTTCAGCTTCCTGCAAATCAAACGCACTAATTAACCAAGAGTGAAAGGTTGGAATTTTTCAAACGAAGGTGAATACATGCGACAAATATTTATTAATTCTCAATGTCACGCACGAAATGGGGGAAAACAATCGGAATTCGAGTAGCATTTTAACCACTTGTTTCACACCGGGAAATAAAACACTGCGAGACGTTTTATCAGGAATCGCAATTACGCGCAAGTGGCGTATGTAATTGATATTTTCAAGTGTCTCGCGGAATCCGAGCGGCGCTTGCGGTTTTTTCAATGAGACTCGTTGGCATTGCATTTTGATCCCTAATCCGAGAGAGAGATACCAGTTTGAAATCTCAAACGGATTGTCGTTTCCTTGTTAAATGTTCGCGGTTTTCTGGCTTGCAAAATTTATATACGTGTTTTTTCCGGACATTGAGATACAGGCGGAAAGAAAAAGGCGTTTCAACAAATCGAGAGATCCTGCAATGAAGGTTATATAACATTTCTCAGGTTGACTCATATTTATGAAAGTGAGATTAATATTATTATTTCACCTTGCCCTTTTCGTTTTTCACAGTGAAAAATTTTATTAAAATGCATTGAATTTTTGCTGCACTGAAGGTTAAGCAGGGAAATAATACTAAATTTTGCATATTTGTCTAATTGCTGAAAAAAGTGGGTGATTTTAAGACAATTTTTGGAGAATTTCTTAAAAATATTTTTAATGGCTTAATTTAAAAGGAGATTTAAAAGCACAAATTTTAACCGATTAAAATAATAAATTCTGTTATTTTTATTTTTTTTAGATTTTTCACTATTTACGTATCCTTTAACATTTCTTAAGCTCCATCTCATCACAGTTTTCTTAACGTTTTCTTCAACACCTATTATATATAGGCTTTAAAATTAAAGGTTAATTTTTTTCTGCAGGTGACGCATGGAAAGTGACTGCTGCTTACAAATGTCTCCGTGCCCTTTTCTTTTCTTCTCTTTTCGCCTTTGGTGAAAGCTTAATTACTCTCGTCAGGCGTTCTTGGTAATTAAGAAAAGCTTTTTACAAAAATAGCACGGCACAGATAATCGCCGCACAAGACAACAGTGGTTTCCCTTATCACGAATTTTATCACTTTTGTTTACTGCTGATTTTATTTTTTTTTCAAAAACAGAACACCTCTATTGATAAACTCTAGCTGTATCGGAAATATTTACAGTTCGCCCTTCTAATTTTCTCGGCCTCACTTTTTTCGCACTTTTACGGCTTCGGCACAGGAAGCGAAAAACGTATTGCTCCAAAAATCGAGATCACGCACAGATTCGACATTGAGAAATCGGTTCGGTTCTTATGTTTCTTTTAATTTCAGCAATTACGCACGTGCAGTGGGGTAACGAGTATAAAAGTGAACCCGAGGCGTTTCGTGCAGCGTTCTTTTTTAATTAGCCGCCGGCGCTGCTGCAGAAAAAATGGGCCAGTGCTAACCAAAAATATTTCACACAACAAAGCACACAAAAGTGCTGCTCATACGCCAAATAAACATCTCAGTATCAACACAAACTAGTTCTCCGGTAATTAGTTGGCGCGCGAGTGTAGAAAGTCTCGCCGCTTAATATGGTTCGCTTGCAGAGAGAGTTTTGTATTCGATAGAGAATTCTAATGGTCTCTTTCACCTGCTTCAGTGGTCGGCCCAACAATTCGTAACAACGAGACACACCGTGCCGATTAAGGCACGCCTCTCTCTCAATCGTTGCCCCTTTTTGTTACCAGGCAGTACTTATAATAAGAAATCAAGTTTGCCAAATTTCGTTGTGGCCCCAATTGCGAGCAATTACTTCTTTTATGGCAGCGGCCAGACGCCGATAAAAATAATTGTCTTTATGACTTACGTGGGAAGTGGTAATGAATTAGGAAGTGCGAAAAAGTTGTTACAAAAGACCTTAAACGTTTTGCACATTATCTCATTAGTGGCGTTTTATGGATTTGCTATTTCCGTTAAATCCGTTAAATCAGCAAATAAATAAATATTTAGTCAAAACCGATCGCAATCTTTGCCGTGTTCATAATTTTTATCCAAATTTATTATATTACAATATTAAAATTTTATGAATTACTTTTTGTAATAATTTTTTTCATTTTATAACAAATTTTTACAACATTTTATAACTCTTTTAATTTTCTATACGAATTAATGATCATGACTTTACACTTTCGCCTCTTCAAACATTATGTCTCATTATAGAGTAATGCTAGGAATTACTCTAAATCCAGGAAAACATTGACATGAAAAATTAGGGCAAAAAATTACAAAAAAAAAATTAGACTGGTGCAAGGTCGAGATTTATTACTTTGTTCACACTTTGGCAAATTGAAAGTCGCGCCTAGTCTAATTGGTCATTCACACAACTTTCATAAGTCGGTAATTGTTTTATGCACGCTTTTTTATTTTTACCGAAAGGTCAATTTTTTTTCTCTCCAGTGGAGAAGGAAGCGGGCAATAAAAAGTGAGTTTTAATTTTAAACTTAACCTACCGTAGACGCAATTAGGAAAAGTGTTGAATTGCAGTCGAGTGTGGACGTGAAAAAAAAATGCTTGTATAATTACGTACCGAGAAGAGCTGCTCGCAGCTGGGAGTGCAGGCAGCGGTGCGCGGAGCAGTCGATGCACAATAATGACACGCTCGGCGATAAAAAGCAGAGCAACAAATCCAACATAATAGCAAGTGTGCAGTTCGTGATGCTTACTTTGAAAAGTCTCACAGTTGTGTCCAAATAGCTGATTAGCAATTGAGCCGTTTTTTATGGTGCGAGGCGTATATCACAATGAGAGACTGTGAGAAAAGCGCTCCGAGAGTTGCTCGCCATTACGTTATTTTTTTTTATATATTTGATTATATATGTATATAGTGAATTCATCTTTCTCTCCTTCGTTTCCCAGGGCGAGTTGCATGATAATTAACGATTATTTGTAAACATGACTTGTTTATCCCGATGCTCCTCTCTGTTTCAGCTCGCCTATTATATGCACTTGCCGCTTTGCAAAAGGCTTTTGTCTTTCTCTCTCTCCCGAGAGGGAAATATATAATGGAAGAATTATGTCTGAATAGCCTAGTGTGTTCCACCTCGCTCTACGCTTTGTTTGGAGCGATCGTGTATATGAACATTATTGTGCATTTGCTCATCACACAATGAGATAAAACAAACAAATATTTTATTGGAGTTTAGAGTTTAATCTGCTCGCTGGATTAACTCTCTTATTTATGCCTTTATTTAATAGCAGATTGCACTGTTATGGTTATTTGATATAACAAACTTCAATTTCCGTCAAAATTAAAATTTGTTTATTGAAACTTTGGAACCTCATTCAGTTTCAAATTTTTGGAATTTGATTTCTTTATTTTTAATTTGTATTTGATCAATGGTAAAAAAAATCAATTACAATAATTAAATCACGCAAATTTTATATGCAAAAATTGAACGCTTATTTAAAAACAATCAAATTTTAATTGATATAATTATCCAAAGAAATTTACAACTGCAATGATTAATAAAATTTTAAATTTTAAATAAATTTCACCATTCCTTTTTAGACATTAACACTCTGTTAATCACGCTAAATATAAAAATGAAGCAAACCTACTTATAAATGAAGAAATATTATCCACTCATTCAATACATAAAGCAAAAATTTCTCACGCGTCAAAGAAAAAATCAGCTCAAGCGAAATGCAAATCGACGCCGGGTGCGCTTCCCATGAAATAACGAGCCTGAATTCGATACACTATAATTCGCAAACGTAAGTAATATCTTCTGTCAACTCACTGCTCACAAGTGAAGCGAAAATTGAATGTACCGTAATAAAGCACGCGGTGCGCGAAGTGGTGTATGTGTACGAACAATTAAATGTACACCGAGGCGACATGCATTATTTTCTTTCGACACCGGCGGGTGCCTCTCTTGTTCATCTCTCAGGTTCGCATTCATTTGCATACGTTCGCCTTCTCCTGTTGCACGCGTAATAAATTTAATACCATTCGATCGCCTTGCCGTCAGGGTTGAATCTGAGCAAGGCACTACTTTTCTTCACATCCTCCTTTTCAGCCGAGTGATGCATCGCTCTTGTAATTGTATCATTCATTTAATCTGCCTGTAAGCACGTCGACGGGTAATTTGTATAATTTGATCGGCGAGGTTTTAATAAATTACGCACTTTGGCATCGATCCATTTTTTTTATTTAATCTATTGGACCTTCAGATTGGAATTTTTAATCAAGATTTTACATTTGACTTCTTATTGAACTATGCAGTTTAATGGTTAATAATCTCATCATAAATATTTAATCACAATGTATATGACCCAAAATATTTATGGAATTTAATTGTTGATGATTACAAAATAATACTTATGAAAAAATACTGAAGAAATTCTTAGTCACTTTCAAAATTCAGCAAAAGACAAAAATAATTCAAATTTAATGTTTTATTTAATGTAATATATTTTAGTTTTAGATTTAAAAATTTCTTATAAATAAATATAGAAATAATTATATTTTATTATAACTATTCCATTGCATTTTTTATTTAAAACATTATACTCTATTTTAATAAATTTTGTCTTTAAGAAAAATTTATTAAAAATAAGTTTATATCAATGACTGTCATAAAAAAATTAAGAATTTATTTAAGGTACAAATAAAGTGCTTGAATAACATTAATAAATCCTTAGCAAGTGGAAACAAAAATGATTTTGATTATTCATCTAATTTACTGTGTTACTGATGATGAAGGGTGTAAATTTTTATTATTAAATAGATAAACTAAACAAATTAACCTTAATTGCTGTAATGCAAGAAATGTTTAAACCAGAATTCCAGTGACTACACTGATTTCACTGCACTAATTATAAATTTTTCTATAAATAAGAAAAACATGATGTGCTTGAATTAAATATAGATAACCACTTATTGCAGTCAAGCCATTTTCATCAGCGATGAACTATTGAGGTTTGCTTAGCCAGTTCTGGTTGAGGCACGGAGGTTGTTGTTCTCCTTGACTCTATTATATTTGAGTTTCTCGGAGTTCTATTAATGCTTCTTTTTTCTCTTTCTAGCCACACTGAGACGAAAGAGGTTTTCCGAGAAGAATGAAATTAACACTGCTGGGTACAACCTGCGCAGCTTCATAATATTTCACACCCACGCCAAACTATTTGACTTATAAGCATTAAAAGCAAATAATGTTCTCTTCCCAAAATTAAAGCCCACGGCTCAAACAAGCCTGGCACTTAAAATATTAACATTTCCTACACACTCAAAACTAAACTCGCGTTTCGCTTTTATATTCATCCGGTACACCTGCCATTTTTTCAATACACAAATATCTTCCTGTTCGATCTGCAGCCTTTTTTAATAACACTTTCACAAGCGGGCAACAAGTGCACACCAATTATTGTATTATTTCGCCAGACGAGAGAGGATAGAACAATAATAATCAAATTGCATCTTTGTGTGGGTCGTCGTGATTCGACCTTTTTCATTCTGCAACCGAATGAACGCGATTTTCTTAATAGGCATAAATCGAGCACGGCGAATTAAAAAATAACAATATAATTCTGTTGGCGCGCTGGATACAATTCTCCGCAGCAAGAAATTGGCTCACGGACTACGAAACGGCTTTTAAGGTTGCAAGTGAAAGGGACGGCTTTTGCTATCTCTCTCACGTGTGTGTGTGTGTGTGTGTGTGTGTGATATTTAAATATACTCGGCAGCGACGGCTTTAATGCGAGCGAGCGCTGGCCCGCACTTTCCCTTCTCTCAAGACGCACAAAATTTAATAAGAAAAATCAAAATGTTCGTAAAATTTTAATTAAATTTGTGGACAATTGACAAAAAAATATTTCCTTACCTCCTTTGTCGAACGATTCGAGTCTCGGTCGGGTTGAAATAAATTGAGTTCAGAACTGAAGAGACGATCGCATATCACACTAGTCTAGTTCACTTTCCGGCGGCCGCACTCGGAAGGTTCGGAAAAGTAGCGGGAAGGAAAAAAGGTCCGTCGGCCAGGCCACGTCGAGCCAGCCCGAGAGACAATGCACTTTTGACGCGGAGCTGCTGCTGCTGCTGCTCAGACGGCGCCCTGCTTGTTATTACTTCTTTTCTCTGGCCTTGCCGTGGCCGTTGCGTCACTAAGTAAGGCAACTGTACCCTCCCCAGACCTGAGCTCAGGTTGTTGCCTGAAAGCAGGAGTGAGTCAAACTCACCTCTCCTTCGCCCACCGGCGCGCGCCGCCATCTACACATCCAACTCTTTGACTTTGAGCACCATAATAGCCGGTACAGTTTTTTTCCAGCTCAGGAATTTTCCTTCCTTTCGGGAATTAATAATAAATTACCTTGATGATGCACGCTGACCCGCGGACAATAAAAAATTTGATGCGGTTGATGCTGGTATCTCATCGGACCACTCAACTAATTGGTGCTTGGGCACCATATATAGCCTAATTTGGTGCTCATGAGACCTGTGTTATTTTATTAATGATGGAAATAAAAATTACAAACAAAAAGTAAACTATTGTTTGTTAAAAGATCTTATTTTTTCTGTTCCACATCAATGTATATTAAATATGAGTCAAAATTAAATTTTAAAAACTGAAAGAAATTTAAATTTAAAATTGGTTCTTATCCAGAGGTATCTTAATAATTGTTTGCCTATTTCGTCTTTTTATTTTCCTTAATTTATGTTATAAACATTATATTAATAAAATTTTAAAGCCATAAAATAATTTTTAAGCATTACAATTTATAATTTTTATTTATAATTATACTAAATTAAAGATGTAACAAAGAGACTTAAGAGATACGTTTAATTAGGTTAATTTTTTTCAATTATATTTTATATAATTATGAATTAGTACCAAAAAATAGTAACTATTTATAAATTTATTTAAGAGTTTACATTTTTTTTTTATCCTACTGGCTTTAAAACAATTTAATTTTATATTCATAATTTTTTAATTTCAATTAATTGCAATATAATATTTTAATTTTTATCTGTAATTTTACAAAAAAAAGCTATATTTTTTGTATTTTTTCTCATTTTGTATTACCATCGAGAAATTGCAAATTAAGTAGGAAAATTTATATCAATTCGCATGCAAATCAGCACTAATTGCATCAGGTAACAGTATTGCTTCGAATTGTGAAAGAAAATAACTTTTCTCAAACGGGATGCATATTAGAAATGCTCCGCAATTTCCAGCAAAAGGGCCTTGAAGATGAGTAACAAGGTAACGATGCAGGAATCATCTCGCGACCTACGATCAAGTTACGAATCACTTTTATTATTTTATTGGCTGCAGAGATTCACAAACGGGAAAAACCAAATGAAGCAGCAAAAAAGGTGAGCGATCTTTTCGCTCTATACCTGGGGATAAATAACTCAGGGATTGCGCAACGAGCAGCAGCAGGAAATGTTAAGGTTGCAGGGTTAACGCAGAGCGATCGGTTGGTGCTCGCTCGGTGCTGTGGGCGTCCATAGCCACTTTGCACGTAATGATATTGTTCTCTTATTGCACATATTTTCCTTGTCGCGCGCGCCAAAGGGTCAAAGAGCTCGACTCAATTTACGACACGGACGGCAAATTTCGAGCCAGGAAAAAGCGAAAGGATCATTCCTCAGAGATGATCTATAAGTCTGCTCCTAGGCGTTTTCTCAGTAAGATGCCCATCTACTTTTAATTCAAAATTATCACGCCCCGATCTTGAGCAGAACAATGCGTTGGCTCCGCTTTACCAAAAACAGTTTTCCGCGTTCCTCTCAATTGCATAAGATAGAATTTCTTTATTAAATCAGGGAATGTGACACGCCAAAAACAATGACGAAATTGACGAATAAAAATGATAAAATTACTTTGATAGAACTTTTTATTGCCGGTGCGGTGGCACCAAAAAATAACACAACTTTTCCCAACAACCCTGTACTTTTTTATAAAGCTTCTCTCTGAAAAATTATTCCCAAACTATCTGCTTTCAGTGCACACTGATTTAATTAATTTTGGTTTGCCCGATCTGGTGATTTGTTTCACATTAATTAAAAGCGCTACTAGTAAGTAGTTGCGATGGCGCTCAGACAAATAGGACCTTGTCCTTGCTGCGGGCTGTCTGGAAAATGTTGTCGATTTTGCTGAAAACATCAGAAGACACCTTGGAAGCGTCAATGTAATGATGGATGCCTGTAATAAAGATAATGTAAATTTGTTAATTTTATTTTAAATTTCTAGAAAAAAAATCAAAAAGTCACAATAAAATTATCAAATTAAAAGTGAAAGGCTACTTGCTTAAAAAAAATCAATAATTTTAGCTATAATTATTGACTGATGAACCATTTCATTTGAATTGAAATACCAAATAACAATAAATCATATTTAATTTACTAATATAATTAAATTAATTTTACCTTTGAGCTTGTAGTATTCGACGAGAGGACTCGTCTGCTTGTGGTATGCTTCGAGACGCTTTACCAGAGTCTCTGCGTTGTCGTCAGATCGACGTATCAATGGCTCTCCTGTAATCTGATTGAACATTTATTTTTGATGTATTTTAATTCCAAATTAATTTTACATCATCAGTCATTGATTTCTTGGGTGGGTGGAATTCTTCATGATATGAGCGGCCACTGGCAACGTGTATTAATCTGCCGGTGATTCTTCTGACCAAGAGACTGTCGTCAATGCCAAACTCAATGACCGCGTCCAGGTTGGCCTTACGTTTGTCGAGCAGTTTGTCCAGCTGGATATAAATTCCATCGATTACAAATTGACATGAAGCACTTTTGAAGATAAGGCATGAGTTAAAATAAGCAAGAGATAGGAGTTCAGCTGTTTATAAAATCACAATTCGTAATCTGCTGTTTTAACTAAAACTCCAAACAACTTGCTGTAACTGAATTGTTTAAAGCTCAAAGTTCACTGCTTTTTTAACAGCAAGTTATCTTGTTCTGAGTTTCTGACAATTTTTTTTCTTAAAAGATGATTGTTTAAACTTATCTTTAGATATTTATATTATTATTATTTTTACTATAATTTTATAAACATACATCTACTTCAATTTCATTCTAAAATAATATATATTTTTAGCAATAAGTGCAATTGTAGAATATTATTTAGTTTAAGATAAACTGGGACTAAAAAAAAATTGTAGTTAATATGTTAAACCTTTGAACTCATTTATAACAATCACAATTTTTAGCATACTTTTTCCGCTTGAGGAATGGTGCGGGGGAAGCCGTCAAGGAGGAAGCCGTTTTTGCACTCTGGCTTATCCAGATTTGTCGAAATAAGATCCACAACCAAATCATCACTGACGAGAGCTCCTAAAAAGATAAATTTTTCACGTTTGATTGAAATTTTTAGATTTGACTTCTTGCCTGCGTCCAGAGTTTTCTTCAGCGTCTGGCCCAATGGAGAGCCGGTGCCAATTTCAGCCCTGAGCATGTCACCCGTTGACAAATGGCACACACAGTATTTCTTTTTCAGGAGAGGGGCCTAAAAAAATGTCAAAATAATTTAATTTATACCAAATAATATTATAATTAATTAAAAAAAAATCGAAGTATTTTTAAGTAATATTTTTTTTGAATACTAATTTATGGGCATACCTGAGTTCCCTTTCCTGAGCCAGGGGGTCCAAGAAGGATGGCATTGATGCCGACCTGAGTGTCCGTCGCCGGTACAGGGGCTGGTGCGGGTGCTGCTGAAGCCGCAGGTGGCATTTTTCAAGCTGTATAAAAAATAAAGAGGCTTTAGCAGATCGTTCAACAAGTTGTCCGCGAGGCCGTAGGTTCGATTAACCCGCTTAATTGGGGTTTCTCGATCGGTGACCTGGTTGCAACGACAAAAATAGCGCAGGCGAGAAATCGTACGAGTGTCCTGTTTTCATTCAAACTCTAAAATAGACTGACCAAGACTGAACGGAAAGTGGCTGAAAATTGCAGAAATTGATTGCAAGGTCATTGGGTCCACCTGGGTGTGATAATTGATGCATGTAACCGGGACAGGAAGTGGCAAAGGGTAAATTTAGGACACGTAGACCGGCATTTTTCAAAATTTTTTCCGAGGACCCTTTTTCGTTGATCATGTCAGAAATTTGCGAATGATCTTGGTTATTAATGTAATTTATGATAATTTAAATTTCAATTGAAAGGTTTGACTTGAAACAAAGGTCACCTTCGTCAGCTGGCTGGGTCGAAATGGGCAAAGTTTACGTAAATGAGGGTGAAAGTGATTTTTTTCGATTCAAGTGCCGTCCGGACAGAAAATGAACAGAGATCGAGCCAATCACAACTCTTAGAACAGTGCGAACAAGTCATGAAAAATTTGAGATGACACCATTTTTCTATCGGAATAGAGCCCGCGAATATTTGAAAATTGCATAGAATCAATAATAGTGCTTTGGAAACAAACATGGCGGCGTATTGAATCTTGTTAAAACTTTTGGAACACACCTTTCCATATTCTCTGTATGGTGCTGCCGCATTGTGACCGCCGGCAAAAACAAGTCGACCCCAAGCCGTAGCGTTGTTGGTGCTAAAAGTTTCAGTTTTCAACAAATTTTTGCTGATTTTTCCCTCTGATTTTGTATTCTTCTGCTGAACATGAAAAACTGGTAAGGTTGCTTCGATTTTTCTTTGAATTTTGCAGCCTCAAAGTTATTTCGGAGCAGAAATAAATTAATTAGGGCAGGCAAATGATGGGGTGTTTCCGTCCCGCGCGTCAATAAAAAAACAAACAACTTTTCCATAAAACGAAATTGAGTATTTTACAAAACTATTATTTTGAGGAAAAACAATCAACAAATTTTTTTAAATACTTTCTAGTAATTTTTTTGAAGAAAAATTTGACGAATAACACAAACGACTAAGGAATGTTTTGACCCATTTCAGACACCAGAAATGTCGGACTCATCGAACGACGACTCGAAAGACTTCAATAGCAGCGAGGTGTCCTCGACCTGCAATGTAGGACGCCAAAACCAGCCGGTCGAAGAAGGAGCGTCGACGAGCGACGTCCCAGTGCCGCGTTCCTTATCCCCAGACACTTCCGAAGCGGCAAACGCGGCCGTTGATAACCAGGGCAATGACCTGACCTCAACAACCGCCGAACCCAGCAGAGGCGAGGACGCCAAATCGACCAGTTCAGAAGAGTATCCAGACGCAGACGTGTCTGGTAACGTGACTGGATCAAATGAACGTGCCTGGCCGGTTGAGGAAGAGGAGGAGCCTCCGGCCAGTTCATCGGGGACTCAGGCAGTGTCAAAGCCCTGGCAGATGCTGGTGTCTTATGACAGCACTTCAGACGAGGAGGAACCAGATACAGAAACTGCCTCCGCGTCCGAATCGATTCTGACAAGGGAAATTTCCACTACTCAAGAACCGGATGTTTCTCCCAATAACGGACAAAATGTAACCGGTTCCGGAGACGCTGTCCGAGATGAGGGCGCTTCTAGCTCGGAGATGAGACTAGAAGGTAGTTCTGTATCTGGTTCGCACGATTTCAATGCTGAAGGGGAAGCTGGCTCGTCTTCGAATGTAGAGGAAATTTCTGAAGGACAGGACGAGCAACTCACCTCGAGTGGTAACAACAACGATGGAGTTGAGTCCAGCAGACTCAACCAACCTGAAATGGAAGTGGAGGAAGAGGAGGAGGAGGAAATTCTCACCTCCAGTGGTCACGAGGCCGAAGCTGTGGACGACCTGGTCGTCTCGGTGTCCGGTTCAGACGAGTTGGACCAAGAGCCCCAGGCCAACGTCCTTTCGTCCTCAAACAACATCATCGCGTCTCTGTTGACGGCCGAGAGACCGGCGAGTTCGGAGGCTGACCCCCTCGGACCTCAGGTTCAGGTTATCCGACCTGACTCTCCTTCAACTGGTAGATCCAGACCGGACGTTTTAGCAGGAGGATCGCGAATTCTAGAAATTATTCCGCCACAGCCCAGCGTAAGTGGTGAAGTTCGAGTGAGCGAAGAAGCTGCTCGGAGAGTGTCTTCAGCGTCTCAAAGACCGCCGATGGGAATTTCCGTTCTGGCACAGCAGCTGCGAGTCTCCTCTGCTGGCCAGGGACACTCTGCTCTCATGAGGCAGCTCATTTCATCGCAAAACGAATCCGCAGTGGGAAATAGGTAGGAGTTAATCTAAATTTAAAATCAATTGATTTGAAACCTATTGAAATATTTCTAGGTGTGGTCCCGACAGCACAACTGTGGACCAGAGTGCAGCCAGCGCTGCTGAAGAAGTTAGCACCACCGAGGAAGACCAGACAGGCCAAGTGAGCACCTCCCAGCAAAGAGGGTTAGTCTCAACATCCTGGCCGGCTGCCTCTGGCGTTTCGTCCAGTGCGGACAGTCCAATATCTACGAGCAACAACACTCTGAGTGGCCTTCTTGCTTCAAGGTTGACAAGAGACCCACAGGTATGAATTAAAGAACTTTTACTAATTTTTAATTGATAAAAAGTAAGGACAAAGTGTAAATCTCAAAAATTATACGGCTGTTCGATTATATAAAATTAAAATGTAAAAATATTTCAACGCTCTTAATAATGAAATGATATTAGTGAAATTTTCAAAATCTTTTATTCAATTAATCATTTTAAATAAAAAATATTTATTTGCAAAATTAAATATTCTGACTTTAAATCGCAAATGATTGTACAGTTTTTTAATTTTTTCCCTTTTGTTCATTCTTACAAGGTGCAATATTATTTGGATTCATTTGTTATTGACAGGTGAGCACAAGCATAAATGCTGCCCACCGACCACGAGACAGCAGTGATCTTCGAGACAGCAGTGGTGCAAGCAGCACAACCTCTGGGCTCCGAGGTCTGCTGTCCACGCCAGCCAGAGTGAGCAATTTCAACAGAAGCAACTTCAGTCCCCCAACACAGAGCGTCTCACCGCCCTCTCTGGCCGAGCCAACAGACAACGCCATGGGTGGCCATCAGCCAGACGGCGGCTCCAATTTTATTTTGTCTCCCCAGCTTTCTCCATCTTCCTCACAGAGGCCTAATGAGACTCACCAGAGTTTTTTGGCCATGCAATTGGCTGGACCTTCGATGGCAACCGCTCCTGGAGATAAGTTCCCAGGAGATGATAAGGTATGGTTTTTTGTTTTTGCCTTTTGATTAATTAAAGTGGCTTATTTTGTTTTTCTTCCAAAGGGTAAAAAGAGGAAAGTGTCTCCTGATAGACCCCACAGGCGATCTCCACCTCCACCTGCTGGTCCAAGCCGAGACCTAAGTTCAGCGTCACCTCCTAGTGCTTCTTTGATGGAGCAGCTGAGAAAAGCTGGAGTTATCATAACACCAGTTCCAAAATCTGCGCAACCGGATTCGGAACCAAAAAGGAATGACGTTGAGGGTCGTCAAGATGTGCAAATCGACGTTCAGATCAGCCAGCCATCGACAAGCAGACAAGCGGCTGTGCCAGTAGAAGAAGACTGTGAGCCCATGGATGAATCTTTGGACTTGAATGAGAACAAAGCGGTCATGGAGGAAGAGGACGAGGGCCAAATGGTTTTGGTTGATGAGGAAATTCCATTGACTGACACGCCGGAAAAGAAAAGGCCAGGAAGGAAAAGGGGTAAGCGGAAACCGATCGAACTGAATCCGGAAATGTTGCGAACAAAGCGGCCTAGAAGAGCTAAGGAGAGGCACGAAGAGGAGGAAAAGGTGAAAGAGGTGCCTAAAAAGGTGGAACTTCCCCCACCTGTTGATGGAGAAACTCCGGTAAAGAAGAAAAGAGGGCGAAAGCCAAAAGCTCTTCTGCTTCAGGTTAGTTTTTAATTAAGAGTAATTTAATTCTTTTGATTTTAGATTAAATTTGTATTTTACGTTATCAAAATTTGATTTGTATTTTAGCTGGCTGCTGAGGCAAAAGCAAGAGAAGAGGCTTTGGCCAAAGAAAGGGCTGAGAAAGGCATCACTGAGGATGAAGTAGAAGATAAAGAAGAGAAGAGTCAAGAAAATGAGTCACCTTCCCCGGAGAAGAAGGGAGATAAGCGGCAGTGGCGGAAAGGAAAGAGGGAGCCAAAAAAGACACCCAAAACTCCAAAACCAAGAACTCCAAAGCCTAAACCAGTCCGTGAAACACCAAGTGGTGCTCAGGACGAAGAAACAAGAATGAGCGCCACTGTCGAGGACAGTCAGCAAAGCAAGCCTACTGATTCGGCTCCAAGAAAAAGAGTGAGAAATCCTTTATTTTTAAAATAATCCACCAACTGAAATTTTTCATTTAGTTTGTGTTGCCAATATTGCAACCACTGGAAGTATCAGCTGAGGATGTTGCCGAATATCAGTGGCCGCCAAATGACCGCCTGGCGGACATGTATATGCTTCAAGAACAAATCGCGCTTTTTCTTGGTGTTAAGTCTTTCAAGCGGAAATACCCTGACTTGAAACGAAGACCAGTAGAGCCCCAAGAACGAGAATACCTGCAAGAAAGAGGAATCGTCTCTGAGTCCATGTGTGATTTAGGTTAAATTAAATATTTATTTTACGAGGGTGAGAGTAATATTAAATATTGTATCAGGCTTAACTGCTGTGCTGAGCGCAGAGGTCTTGGACATCATGTCCGCTGATTATCATGAGAAGTATGAAGAATACAAGCGAGCCGTCAGAGAACGAATTGCGAAAGAAATGCAAAACAAAGCAAAAGGTAGTTAATATTTATTTTTTAAAAAGAATATGACAATACAACTTATTCTATCAGCAGTTTCAGCTTTTAAACCAATGGATGCAAAAACAAGGGCCATGCAGTCTGCAGCCAAGTGGAATGCCAGTTTTAATAAGGAGAGACGAGAAGAGCGAAGGTGCTGCTGTGATTTGCAAACAATGACCTTCCAATTCCCAGAGCAAAAGAGGAAGACTGTAATGAATAACGAGAAGCCCGCTCCAGGAGTCTACCCTGTTGCACTCATCCCTGGACAATACACGGACTATTACAAAAAGTGAGAAACCTTAATAAGCCGTCTGAATTGATTTAATTTTTTTTTAACAGCTACACTCCAACGGAGCTGAAATATTTGCCAATTAATACAGTCATGTATGGCCCACTGAGGCCAAATGAGCAGCTAGAGGAAAGAATGTCTGAAGCCAGCCAGTCCGACTCGGAAGGTTCCTCCTCTTCAGATGACAGCTCGTAAGTTAAAAATTGATGTTTTTCTATAACTTTTACTACATTTTATTTAATATAGAAGTGATTCATCGAGTGAAGGATCAGCTGAGTCTGCAGACTCAATTTCAAGTGCCCCTGAACCAGATCAAGAAAACGTGGTCAATGCACCACCAGCAGGGACCAAGTGTCGAACTTGCTCATTCCCTGGCACACCAGAAAGCATGGTCACTTGTTCACAATGTAGCACACACGGTAAATCTAGTTGCATTCATTAAAACCTAAAAGTTAAAATTTTAATTTTATTTCAAGGGCATCTGCTTTGCCTGGGCCTAAATACTGACATGCTGTCCCACATCAGACGGTACGCTTGGCAGTGCACCGACTGCAAAACTTGCATCCAATGCAAAGATCCGGCTGATGAAGATAAAATGCTCTTCTGTGATCTCTGCGATCGAGGGTACAAAATTAATTTTTGACTCTTAATTTGGTCATTAATTGATAAAATTCTAGCTACCACATTTACTGTGTTGGTCTGAGAAAAGTTCCAGAGGGCCGATGGCACTGCAAAGTTTGTGCAGTCTGTGGGTCTTGTGGGAGCATCGACCCGTCTGGAGCTGACACTCCACAGCCAGCGCCTCCTCCGAACTCTCCCGAAAAAGCTCCCCAGTGGCAGCACGAAGTTTGTCCAATTGTCTACATCTCAAATTAAAACTAATATTCTGATTTTCAGTACAAAAAGGGTGAGAAGAATAACAAAATCTATGCTCAGACGCTGTGCATTCCCTGCTCAAGGTATGTTTCCTAAAGCTTGTTTATTTTCATGGGCCTTATAAATATGCATGCTTTTTGGTCGGCAAATGTTAAACCTGCATGTCCGTTTCACCCAAACTAACCAAGTGTTGTCTATTGTGTGGCTTAAACAGGCTGTGGCGGAGGGGGAGCTATTGCCAACATTGTTTGCGTTGTTACTCGAAAACGGACGGCACGACCATGGTCAACTGTTCCATCTGTGACAAGTGGATGCATGCAGGTATGTCTCTTGCTTCAAGTCATATTTTATACCTGTGTGGTTTTTGTTTTCCATATTAACAAAGACCGATTATAGAATATTGAAATATTATAAAACTCTTTATGTGCAGAGTGCTGCAAGCTGGCGCCCGGCCCCGAGCTAGCTAAGCTCAATTTCGTGTGTGAGAACTGCCAAGAGGGCAGCCAAGTACGAGCAACCCCATCCAACAGAGGACTCCTGAAGGTGTTGACAAAGGTCCATTAGCCTACTGCACAATTATTTATTCAAGTACTTCACTGGTTTTCTCAATTCCATTATCTCTGGTGTACAGGATCAATAAAAGTTGTTTTTTTAGTAAAATAACAATTCGGTCTTTTTGGTGAACCTGTTTAATTTTCCTGTTTGAAGTGTTTCACAATTAGTTTACTTTGCACACCCAAGTACCTGGTACATAAACAGCATTCACTGCAACAGAGCAATAAAAGTAAGCAATGGCTCCTTCATAAGTATAAACAGAGAGAGCAACAAAAAAATTAAATTTTGTTAATCATGTTGTGAGAGCAGCGCCTAATTACTATTTGTTACAAGTAACTTGTCTAGGATTGTGAAAGACGAGCAATAAAGTGGCCTCAATACAAATATGGAACAAAACAATAAAACATAACAATAATTGATCTGATATTGAATATCACAACAGAGGCAAGTAGTATTAATTATGTTGCATAATTAGTTCAGAGTAGTTAGGTACGTCAGGTGTCGGCAAATAGATGATCGTCAAAAAGTAAATAGCTGCAGAAAACGTGATCAGAATTTTCCAGTTTTCAAGAAACATTAGTTCGTACAAAAGTGTGGAGCAGGAGTCGGAAATCAGGAGGTAGTTTCTTTGTGCTAGAGGATCACTGGAAACGGAGACCGCACAAAGAGAGGACAGTGTTTTCGTCGTGCAGGGAAAGAACCGGCACGAGGGTGGCTCCCAACGCGATTCGCTTCTCCCGCAGGCCACTTTGCACTCGCGAAATGGCCTCACTCAAAATTTCGGCGTCAACCGCCCCAGTCCGATAAAACGCACGCACGGTCAGTGCACTTGACGGTGGCGCCTCGCGCAGTAGCTTGCCCATGGCATAGTCCACGGCCTGGGTGAGCGAGTCCAAGGTCTGGTGACCTTCGACATAGCAGACCATGGCCGCCACTGTGCCGTCGTAACTCCAGCGGCTCCGGATGTTGGCCTGGGGAGGATTGGCAAACTCGTCACCTTCGTCAGTCAAACGACAACCGGTCTCCTCATCTGAAAATTTTTATTGCATTCAGACTTTGCCAAAAATACTTTTTTATACTAATTTGAAATTCTTCAGCCCTGGATTATATTGCAATTTAAGTTTTACTTACATTCAAAGCGACGGTTGTGAGCATGGGCCCAGACACTCCACTCCAGAAGAGCGCCTCTTGGAAGGGCAGGAACTATGACAAAATCAACTATGGCATTTGTGGTGCGTCTCTCCCACAGTTGTCGAACAGTTTGGACAGCATGTCTGCTAGTCAAATAACAAACTCCCTGCCAAGACAAATATTACTTTGTGTTGAACAAAAAATTTAAAATAAATACCTGCACCACGTCTTGAAGTTCGAACCTCGAGTTCATGGCTGCGAGAATTCGGCTGACATGTCTTATGGCCAAAAGACACTGGGCTTGAACACCAGCACCTTGAAGCAGTTGTCCCGAACTTGGGTCCAGTGCAATCTGGCCAGCCACTTGTACCACACTGTCCACTCGGACAGCTTGGCTGTACGGACCAATGCTTGCTGGAGCCCAGTGGGACAGTGACTGGACATGAAGGGCCTGTTTTGGAAGCTCCGGTTCTTCAGAGCTCTCCTGCTGCGGAGTTTTGTGAGCAGTGGCTTCGAGAAGGACAGGGAAATTTTCAGGAAGGCCGACTTCAAGACAGGCACGAACTGGCGGTTCGCCGCCGCTTGAGACCATCCGAGCGCTGAATTTATCGTTGACGGCTCCAAATTGGGACAAATCGCGCAACCAAAGGGCAACTCCGACCACATCTGATAGGCTCATCTTGCGGGATTCAAGCAACTCTGTGGAGAATCGATGAAAAGTTTAGTACTTTTTAAGTAAATGAAGTTGAATGTAAAAGGGACCCTTCATTATATTTTATTTTTAAGCTGTTTATTGCTTTCATAAAAAGCCATGTCCGGCTCAATACAAATTTTAAAAATTATCTTAATTTTGTATATAGAATTTTTCAATAAATTTAATTAGCGTAAATTAAATCGCAGGGCCTAACCTTGGAGTTTATCAAGAGCGTTGCTCATGGCATCAGCGCAGGAACTTCCTTCTCCAGGCACTCCAGTGACCCAGCACCAACCCTCAGAGTTGCACTGGATTTGTGGGTGGTTGCAGAGTTTCTCTTCGTAAAGAATCGGCACAGGAACTTCATCGACAACCTCAGTCTCTTCCACCTCAGCTTCAGATTTTTTCTCTTCATCAAACTCGTCTCTGTTTTCCTTTACGAGCAATGTTTCTTCGACTCCATTCAGAAACTCTTTGGGGCTTCTCACCCTAGAAGCTGCAATTCTTTCCGGCATGGGCATCAACATAAACTCAGGCTGAAATATATGATAAAATTCACTGTTTTTCCTTAAATATAATTTGTGTGTGAAAATTACCGTTTTCTCAATGAGTCGCATCTTTTTAAAACTAAGGTAGCCAACGGGAGCAACAGCATTGTCATCGTGAATCACAGTCTGGTAGTCATCTCTGTTTATTTATTTTTTAAATTTTAATAATTTTTTAGGTTGACACAATAATATTGTGACTTACACTACAATGGCTTTATTAAATAATGGGCAATCTAGTGTAAAAGTTTCGTACTCGCCACCCTCACCACACACATTTAGGCCCCATTTTTCCTTCTGTTAAACAAATTTAAATCATTGGAAATAAACAAATTTGAGAAAAAGTTGCCATTCTCATTAGGTGTGGTGCAACGTCTGAAATATCTCTGCCAAGGTGCTGGGCAGGGTCGAGTCCCAGGGCGGCTACCTTGACAAGGATGGCCTGCACACCACTGGCAACCATCTCCGCCAAGAGTTCAGCCTGGTCTCGTTGCCACAGAAAGGCCAGACAAACAAGGCCAAGTCTTGAGCACCTGATGATTCAATCCAATCACCAAATTGCAGACGTCTGAATATTTGAAAAATTACACATTCTCGACTCGGACCCTCTGATAGTCGGACAGAATGGCCCCAACGGAGACACCATCCACACCGACCTCATCCTTGATGGTCTGCAGAAGCAGATAGAGGTCTTCGACCTCATCTCCTTCCTCGGGGGTGTACTCCTTGCTGGTCTGTTTCGTCCGGCCCTTTGTCACTTGTCGGAATAAGGGCAGACCCATGGCCTCGGCCAGCACCTCCACACCCTCGTGTCCGACTGACTGGTACATGTAACTGTCCATCTCGCCTAGAATTATATTTCTTTTTAAATACAGAACATTATTTTGCTGACTTTTAATTAACCATCGATGTCTGGCTGCAGATTGGCCAGAGCGACGAGTGAGTGTCCGGCGGCGACGCACTGCATCATGCCGTAGCAGCTGTCCTTGCCACCGCTAACCAGTCCGACGACCCTCATTGTTGGACACTCTCGTTCTTGCTCTACGGACAGGACAATCACTGTTGTTTATGTACTCGAAGACACGGAGTTACTCGTGACAAAAGACGTGTCATCTGGAAAACGAGACAAATATTGACATTCAAAATGTTGAAATTGATAGGTCGCGAGCAGCGAAAACAATTTTTAATCGCTGATCTTTTATACATAAATCCTCGGTGGCAGCAGGTTTCCTTCCTACTTCTATTTTTAGACCTTCGCGGAGATGGAAATAAAAAATAAATAAATCTGCTCGTGCAACAAAGCGCGTGCCGAGGTCGCGGCCAGTGCAGGGGTGCTCACCTTAGTGACCTCTCCGTCTCCATCGAGGAATTCGCGAAATGGTTTGATAGAAAAATAAAAAGTCGGACTGCTGCTGGGCCAGACTGGGTGTGACAAGGTTGACGTGAGAGGACGAGCGCGGATTGCGCAACCCGCGAATGGACCGGCGCAAAAAGTGGACGTAAGCCTCCTGTTCCTGTGTCTGGGGCGCCTCATCAGCTGCCCGTGAACAAAACATTGACACGCTGGTTTTGATCATAGTTTTAATTACTCTGCTTTTTATCTTTTCGGCGTGTTTCTTGACAATGAACAATGACGACGAGCAGGATTTTTTTCTGCTGCAAGCGCAGACCCATTTTCTTTCTTCGCAATCGATGACCAAATTTGATAAACTGGTTTGTTTTTATTAGAAAATCATCGATATGAACAAAACAAATTTTTAGTAAAATTAAATTTTTTAATCTTATATTATTTTTCAGAATTTCCAAACACATACTCTAGGTCATTTTACGCAACATAAGAAATACAATATGTCTATCAATATTGATTAATTATATGTTTATTTTTTTTTTTTATGAATTTTGACGTTTGACAAATATGTAGGCCATTGATGTTTGTAAATTCAATTTATTTTTTTGCTATGTGAAATGAACCATTTTGTGAGTTTGTATTTAATAATTCAAAAATTTATAATTTTTCAGGAAGAATTAAAACAAATTTTACGAGTTGGAGGCGAGGAAATGCAAATGAAATTTATTGCGATGACATTCGAACTGGACGATGTGAAGAAATATCCTGTAAAAATTGCATTTCAGAAGTCGTTTATTAAAAATTTGATGGACGACGTAAGTTCTACACATAAAATTACTATTCATCAATTTTTATATATTTGATTACCCTGATTTTTTTATACATAGCTGGAAAATTCACACTGTGAAATGACGGAGAGATTTTTTGAGTTGTACTGCGCTTTACTGGAGAAAGAAAAGAGCAAAGAAAAAAGAGGTGGAAACTGTAAAATTAAAAATTATTTTTAAATTATATCATTAATTTCAGCTCAGTACCATCACTTCAAAATTTGTAATGAGGAAATAAAGGAAATCAAAAAAATAATAATTAAATGTGATGAAAATTTTCTTAGCGGAGGGACGACCGGGCTCAGTCTGTGGCAAGTAGGGCTAAAACAAAATTAGATTTAAATGTATTTTTGATTCATTTGAATTATTTAGGCTGGATTTTCCTTAGCGGAATGGGCCTTGGAAAATAAGCAAAGACTCTACGGAAAAAACGTCCTGGAACTTGGGTCTGGCAGTGGATTTACGGGACTTGTAATTGCCGCCGAATGCAAAGCTCAAAGTGTCACCCTGACTGACGGACATGGCAAAGTTCTACAGCAGCTTGTGGAAAATATAAAACTAAATTGTGGAGAAACCAAAGAAGATGGTCTTTACCACTCGGAGTTGCTAAGAGCAAAATTTGGGACCACAAATTTATCGGTTGTCAATTTCCTCTGGGAAAATCCAAGCTACGCTGAAATCGAAACACCAGATTTAATTTTAGCTGCAGGTATTTTTCTTACATGAGAGAGATTTTATGATTTGAAATTATTGTTTTCGTAGATGTTGTATATGACCCTAGTGTGTTAAAGCACTTGAGCAAGACGTTGCTTTTGCTGCTGTCAAAAAAGGAAGGTTCCGAAGCCATACTAGTGTGTACTTTGAGAAATGAGTCAACTTTGGAAGGACTTTTTAATGTGCTAGGTAATCAAGTCTCAATATCAATAGAGAAACCAGCGGTGAACAAATATTTTGCTTATGAGGCTCAATTTCCAATTTTAATATACAAGCTAACTTTAAATAAATAAAAGAGCAATTTTTCTAAAGCAAAGGTGTAGCTTTAATCAATTTCCTTTTCTACTTTTACATTTTAGTATCTGGCAATTAAATACAGTCGGTATTGTAGCAAGGTGTTAGTTTCTCAGTCGTACAAGGGCAACAAGCAGAAAGCAGATATTTAAAAAAAGTAAAATAAGTTACAATAATAATGTAAGTTTTAAAAGCTTATTATCAACTATTTAACAAGTCTTGAAAGTAATTATCAGGTTTACAGATCTTCAAATTAACAGTGATTTGCTTGTTTAGCATTATTAAATTCCGTATTATATTATAAAATAATGGTAACCATAAAAAGGCTTACTTAGTTAGTTCAATAAAACCAATAGCAAAAATAAAGAGACTTAGTTAAATATATCAAATGCATACATAAGCTGCCAGATTTTAAATTTTAACCCATCAATTAATAATGCTTCAAAAGCTGGACTTGGAAATTTTAATCTCCGCAAATGATTGTTTAATTGAATTTTTTAATCTTGATTTGATCACATCTTGATCATTTTACGGGAGAATAATTTAGTAAATCATACTCTGTTATCTACGAATTGATCTATGGGAGAGAGCCTGAATGGTACGCTCATCCACTGTTGGTTCCGACTTTTCCTTAATCAGCGTTCCGGACATGTTGACGGCCACGAAAAGGCTGCACAACAGAAGCGGTCCTATTATGGCTCCTTCGACGCCCAGGCACAAAATTCCTCCAGCGACTGCCAAACCAGTTAAGTACGGATGACCCCCACTGCACATATTATAATTAAAAATAAAAAGTGTTGAAAGAGTTTACTAATTACCCTCGTATTTCCGAATATATGGTTGTATCAACAATAGAGGCTGGCAGTAAATGGCAAACAAGAAGAAGGATAGCTTCAAAACCTCTATCCTGAGCCAGCCAAAGCTCCAAGGTTGCTGGCAAACTGGCCCAGTATGTTCCCAAGAAAGGTACGGCGCCTAGCACAGCCGCCAGAACTAAATTATATAAATAAATAAAACTTTCATTAAGAATTCTACATTTACTTACCAGACGGGAGGTAAACTATTTTGACGTGGAACAAGTTGTGGATTAACCATGTCCAGGAACCGTAAAACACAGCCATTTTGAAAGAGGCTTTGAAAACGCCGTTTACGGCAGCTTCAAAGGCCTCGCCAAATCTCTTCCCGTTTGTCGAACTGAAGTTGGTAATCAGCTCGACCGGCTTGTACAAAGCCCCACTCGAGTTCAGCAGATAGAATAATGCAGTTAAGAAGACCACCTTAACAAAGAATTTTGTAATCTGCTCAAATTATTTGAAAATAATATGGTTAATTTACCATGCTGAGCACAAAGTTAAGCACTGCAGTGCCGCCTCCGAGGACGATCGAGAGAATAGTTGTCAGAGAACCAAAGAAGAGACTTAAATTGTCTTTTAGCAAAGTCCATACAGATGCCATTACATGCGTCAACGTTCCCATATTGGCCTTCAGCCACTCAGTCATGGCTCCAAAATCAAGGAGCTCTAAAAATGATATTTGCAAAAGAATATTAAATGATATAAATATATATACCAGGCGTAGTTGTAAGCCTGCTGACCAATGAATCCCAGCTGGATAAGACAGCATCACTAGTGACAACTGGGCCCTGAGTTTTGTCATCATTAACAGCAGAACTCATAACCCAGACTTGGTAAAGTCGGTCCCAAAGCTCCAAAACTTGTTGCTCCAGTTGGGCTGCTCTTGCCGTTTCCACTTGCGGACCAATCATGTATCTCACCTATTTCAATAGATGTTATAAAAATTATTGGCATAAATAAACAGGAGCAAACCAAATTTGATATTCCCTCTCTTCCATACTGATAGGCGTTATCGAGAACTTGTTTGATTGCGTCACTTATTCCTTCAGGCAGCATCTGGAGCAACTCGGGATTATTTACTATAGTTGAATTTGTAAATTGCGCTGCTGTTTGCACTATGTGCACTCCCTCGCCATAGATCTAAATATAAATATAATAAAAGATAAAGCAGCTAAAATTGATTTATAATTCATACTTGAATCAAAATGAAAACAGTAACCATCAGGGAGAGAATTATCAGTCCAACTATAACAACTACACTGGCAGCCATGTCAATTGAATTTTCAACAAAAGAAGAACCATAATCATGAGCTCGTCCTACAATCTGAAGAATTTTAGTTAATAAATAAATAAAAAAATACAAATCCTAAAACTTACTTTAATAACTCCCTTAATCGGCGGAGGGCAGAGAGAAGTTTCTCTTTCCTTGCACCACTCTACAATAATTTTCCAAACCTCTATAGCTTTAGCTTTGACAAATTGCTTTACTCCAAAGTAAGTCACTGTTTGAAAAAATAATGAAAAAATAATCAAGGGAGAACATTAAAAATATAATTAATCTTACAGCCTTTGCTGGTGAAGAAAAAGACAAGAGGTAAAGGAACAACTCCCAAGAGCCAAGTATTTTTATAAATGAACATGGCCAGGCAAGCCCAGCCAACAGCCATTAGACAGTGGTTGCCGGTCAAACCCTCTGGAGGAGAAATTGAGGCAACCAAAAAACTTTCGGGAATTCGAGGCTGTAATTTCAAAAAATTAATAATTTTATTTGAAAAAAAAGTGTCTAGTTAACCTTTGGACGGAAGGGGGTGCTTGTGAAATATGTTATGTGTCCACTCCTGCTGGACATAAGGGACATGGGTCTTATGTTCCTGAAAGCAAGTCTTTTGCCGTGGGGCCGACTGTCTGTTGTGTCAGGTGTTGCAAAAGATTCAGAAGCTGTAGGAATTGGACTCTTTACATCTCCGACAGTAATTTCAGGTCGTCGTACCTCTTCATTTGCCGCTTCATCAGATTCCACGTCTTCATTTTCCTGATCATAAGTTAAATCAAAATCAATCAAAATGCTTCTGTTAATCTGTTAAAATCAGTACCTCCTTTTTCTCAGCCTAAATTTTTGAGAGTCATGCAGGAATATATTAAATTATATACATGCAAAGTGAATAAAAAAGTATGTACCTCTCTGCAAGATACTAGTTCAGGTATGGGCTCCTGTAGAAGTACTAGTTTGATCGTATCCAGGTAGGAGGCTTCACTTCCTATAAAATCAATAGAGTTTAATTTGAAGCGTAATTAACAAAAATAATATACCCTTCAGACTTCTTTCAACGTGCGTTTCCCAAACCTCCACGCCAAGACCAACAATGAGCAATAGGGATGCAAAGCTAAATATCGTGACATTCCAAATTTTACTCTCGATGTTTGAGTTCAGCAGAGAAGTGAATGCCCAGCAGACAACAGCCAGCCACAGAAAGCAAGACACCACGGATAGTCTGCGCTGAGCCATTTCACTCTTGCTCTTTAACAGGAGGACTGCGTAGCCACCCACAGCACAAATTATCTGCATTATAATTTCAATGATTTGTTTTTGTAATAATATAAAAAAAATCTGACCAGCCAGATGCTGAGATGGGAGACGGACCAGTTGATGATTGCAAGGGTGAATGACCCGCACACCCTGGCAATGATAATGATGAAACGGGGCATGTAGTGATATGCCAGGGTTGTGGTGACGGTTGTCCCAAAGATGGCCAGGATGGCTATCAGGTGCTTGTATAGCATGTTGCCCAAAAGGTTCGAGAAGGAGTTGATCATCCGGACAGGAGTGACGGCCAAACCCACAAGGAACGGAGTCGAGTTGTCCCGATTACTCAAGAACCACGACTTCAGATAAATCACAAGAGAGTGCTGAAAAGAGATTTTATAAATTAAAGATTTTGGGCATTTTCGTTGACCAACCTTAAAAGGGTGGAGGACGGAACCACACAAAAGGGCCCAGAGCAGTGGTTTCATGAAAGGTTCCATTATGCAGCAGACAGCGTAACCAACACAGGTGCACACCATCAAAAGGAACAGTGCCAGGGCATTGTAAAGGGCGTGTCGAAGGGCCTTTTCATGGCCTTGGGGGATCAGGTAGTTGAAGACGTGCTCAAACGGAGACTTGATGTAGTCGCTCTGCGGAGTGACTGCCATCTTCAGCGACGACCGTCGACGCTCCCTCAAAGGTATGACCTGGAAGGTTAGAGTTCAATTTTAAAAATTATTAAATGAACACAATTTTAAAATCAGTTGTTCCTTGTTAAGAAAAAAATATGAAAAAATGCCACATTTAAGTAAATAGTCAAATATCTACATTGACAGCAACTGCCATGAAGCAAATCCTTGGTATGCAATGAATAAAAATGACAAAGAACATAATTATAGTGGATTAAATTACGTACACTTCACTTTAGAAAGGTTAAAATAATGTGGAGTCGGCGAAAGTGAAGAAACGTTTAGCGATCATTTTCATTTTCAAATATTTCAGTGCGGATCAAATCAAGCTATTATATCAGTTATAGCTGCAATGCTTGAAGATGATAAATCAATATCTTTCTAAAGTCTCGTTCACAAATTTGAAATCTAGAATTATTCTACAAGAAACAATTCGCCGCAGTGATAAAATCAACGATAAAATTCTGCGTTGATGATTTCTTTTCGGTTACACGCCCATTTGTTGACATGAAACTTTCAGGAGTGGAGGGGATGCAGGAAAATTTCATTGGGCAAATCTGGTTAGTGACGTCAGTGGAGCCGAGCAGAGCCGAACACGCTTGGATCCGCAGCGGCCGGTGCCGACGAGTGCCGAAGCGAGCAAGACCTGTGCAAGACTACGGAAAATGCAAGATGGCAGCAGACGTGAAGTCATGTCTAGCTAGGAGTCAGTGAAAATGGCCTTTAGTGACTCGTGTTCCAGGCTGGACGATGAATGAGATGCGTGAATAGTGCAGGACTATTAGTGTAGTGGTTTCGAAACGAAAACTGACAAGAAGCACGCTCCACCATGGCCACGGACAAAATCAAAGTCGCCGTCCGAGTAAGACCCTTCAACAGAAGAGGTAAATAAATTCATACTCAATGAGACCTCCTACGTCGTACAGTGATTCATTCACGGAAAACAAGCGCATTTTTCAATTCCTGATTATTATTTTTAAATATTTAAATTCAAATTCACGATTTTGAAAAGAATTTTTTATTTTAAATCCATTGATGAAAAGTGAAATTTAAATTTTACAGTTATTTTTAATTTTTTATGGAGCAATAATAATTAAAATAGATTAAACGGTTATATTTTTCATCAAAAAATAATTCCTTCAGATTTGCAGAAAAAATTAATAGCAGAATGCCCGAAAGGGTTAAGCAGGTGCTAATCGAGCAGGTTCCCAATGGGGAGGGAACGATAGGCAGCTGACGGCAGGTGTGCATTTTTTGTGCTACAGCTCAGGAATTTACAACTCTTTTTTGCTTTCCCCTTTTATATTGCAAACAATAACGGCTTCTGAAATAAAATCGCAATTCACTGAGCATAAATGATACAATCTCATTATTCAAGAGATTTATGAATATTTTTAAAGATTTCCATCCTTTGAGTGTTTAGGACTGAATTTTAATTAAAGTGGAGAAGCATCGGAGATAAAACGCTAATTGCAAGAAGTGTGGGCCGCTTTCGACGATCAATAATACAGACAGAGACTCATTCTTATCTTATGAACCTTTTGCTGCTTTTGCGGCAGCCACACTCGACGTTTTTTTCGCGTTTTTATTTATTGGCTCTCACCTTTACACACCCTTAGCCGAGATTAGATAGTTATTATTGCTTTTACGTAGGCCAGGGTGGGCTGTTTTGAACAAACACTGCGCTTTTCTAGAACAAACATTCGGTCCGAGACTTGCGGCGACGACTCGGCGATAAGCACAGGAACACTATATTCAAATGCAGCATCTACCTGCCTGAAATGGTCAGGTTCAAAAGATTAGAAAGGGTTACGAAACCACTTTATTTTTATTACTTGAATAAGAGAAGATTCAATAATAAATTACCAGAAGATTTAAATTATCTTGAGATATTCAGAAAGCAGAGAAACATTGAAAGAATGATGCTAATTTTATGTTATAGAAAATTATTTTATTTGAAAAAAAAAATTCATCCACATAATCAGATAAACAACAATAAATAGATTAAAAGACGAAAAACAAAACACTAGCTTTTTTGCAAAATCGATAAAATATTCATTAAAATTTGATGAAGGGGAATATTACACAGATAAAACTTTAAATAAGCACCGATAAAATCACTATGAAAATAGACGAAAAATTTATAGAATTTAATAATTGACTTCATTAATTTCAATATTAAATTAAACATTTTAGTAATCGTTTCAACACAAGAACTCTTACTTGATCTCTCTACAATATTGGAGGCAAAGATTCTGGAAATAAATTCCCCTACAAACTTGAAATACAGTTTTTTAACAGAAGTGTTTAAAATTACAATCATAACTGTTTTAAATTGACAGGTTTCAATTTTTTCATAACTGTTTTTTTTTATGAAAATAAGGTACAAGCGCCAATTTTGCTAAAAAAAAACGACCAAAATTTTGAAAGTTTATTAATTTCTTATCAAATTTCGCGTGCCCTGGTTGAATATTTAGTTAATCAAGTTCAATAAAATCAAAATTTCTCCATAAAGAGTGAAAATAAATTTAAAAAAATTACTAAGGAGCCATGTAAACTAAATCAAATTTAAATCGCACTTTCCTCTACTATTATTACCGCTACATTATGCATTCAGAGCGCACTCGTGCGTGGATCAGCACTCTCGACTTTGCATGTTAAGCAAGCATATCGCACGTCAGCCAAATTAATCGCAGCTAATTATCAAATTAGCCGAAAAGGCCGTGGTGCCGCCCGTTTTTCAACTTCCTCCTGATGCTCGTTGCAAAAATTAAAATGCCGATGGATCGTAAACGGCAGGAAGTAAACACTCGACTCCCCTTTGTTTCCGCAAGTGCATTTTAATTCTTGTCAAGAGAAGGGGGTAATGAGTGCCGCTTTGAAAAATTAGCATTCTTTGATCCCGATCGCATTTTGAATTTTAAGAAGCTGCAGCATCTTGAGCAGAGGAAGTGGTGTCGAGTCTCGTTTCAACGGGGGTGACGACAAATAAATAATGAAAGACGAGTTGCGCCTCGCACTTTACGTTCACCAAGCACTTGACTCACCCAAAACAAATATAAACAGATAAATTATTCCGCACCAGCCACCAATGTGTGGTGATTCATCTCCGGAGCCGACGCTTCCCAGTTCCTTTTCAAAGCAAGAAATATTATTTGCACTTTGTATCTGCGTGAAACTGCGTTCAATTCGCGCTGAATCTAGAAAGGAAATTATTCAAATAAGGAAGGTGGATCGCATGATCAGATGATGTACATACAAACCGTGGACAAAATCTCAAATTAAACAGAGAAATTTAAGAATTTATTGTTATTTTAAATTTCTTGATCTTTATCACGCTAATATAATAATAATAATAATGCTTAAATTTATACAAAGTGCTTTGAAAAAAAATTCATTTCCAAATTTTCTCTATAAGAAAGATAAGTCATTGATTCCAAATTTGTGCTCCAAATAGTGCAACCTGCGTTATCTCGAGTCATAATCTTGATTTCATTGCAAACAAACTTGTTTGCCGTTCGACTTTCTTACTCCAGAATTATCTCCCCAAAGATAATTCGCCATCGGGAAAGTGTAACCAACAAGTTTATTTTTTCCCTGTCGTCCTTGCCTGCGACATCGTCTGCCACAATCGCGGCCATCTATCACGAATTTTGTTTGCGATACACTTTTGCTCGGCCGTAGCGTGCCGTGCTCTGCTTGTATTTGTCCGCTTTCTTACTTTTTTTATCGCCCACTTTCAGCGGTTTCACGTGATGAAACCGACCTGCAATTGTAGCACGTTCGCGCCTAACCACTAATTATCCGTCAAACTTGTTCCCTCTTTCCACATTTTGTGAATTTTTTTGCCATAAATTAATTTATTCAAATGGATGTAATTATGAGCAAATTCAAATTAATAGACATGGCCAAACTGAAATTGTTTAAAAATTAAAATAATTTAAATAATGTATCGCTTACATTATTTATTCAGGTTATATTATGATATTTAACCTTTATTTATCCAATTTCTTCAATACCAAAACCCTTCTTATTATCACATTAACATGAAATTTTTTCCATTAATTGTTTCAAGAATATTAAATGGCATTTTAAGTTGATTTAGAATAAAAGAATAAATGATTTGTTTCTTAACAAAAAGTTAACTCTTGGTCTTTATTTTTCCATTTTTAAGCGCTCAATGCTTTGAACTTAGAGATTGAAAGTATTTCAATGAGAAATAACATTCATTTGCTGTTTTCCCCCGGTTTTCCATTTTGTGTGTTTACACCAGTTTTAATGAAACCGCGAAATAACAGCTCGCAAATAGCGAATTGCTTTTTTTTTAACTTCTGGCAGAAATTTATTTCACGTCACGCGCAGCAAAACTTTTTTGGTCCGCAAACGTTGCTGCCGCTTTTTTAATTAGAACTGCGCGCATTAATTCTCCTCGGCTCGGATTTCGCAGCTATTTGCCGAGCAGCCAAAAAGCTCTGGCATTTATTTTGCCGCCGACGCAGCCTTTTAGCTCGTGCCTTTTCTTCTGCATAATTCATTCGCCAAGAAAAATATGCCTGCTTGGACCTTTTCTTTCTCTTCTCAGCACCCCCTCATCTCTTGGCTGCTGAAACTCTTGCCCGAGTTGCGGCTGAATAAATTAAGCGCGCGGTTCACCTCGGCGTAATTAGCTGCTCGGGCGTGTATTTATCAATTTCAAAACGCCAGCAGCAGAGCAAACAAAATGCCGGGCTGTATTTGTGGCAGTTAATTAGCAAGATTTTCAGTGAACTGCGTTGTGCGGAGTTCGAAACCCACATAATTTTACCTCTCATATTTTTCAAACTTTATTTTATATAATATGGTATTTCAGCTTTCACCAAAAATTAAAGAGAAATATAGATGAAATTTAATCAAAGTATCAAGTTTGAGGGAAAGTATTGTTATGAGGTATTGATTTGATTTTCTTTTTTAAATTTTAAGCATATTTAAAATGATCATTATTTTCAATAAATTAAAACCATAGAAATTGTTGCGGGTTTGGTTAAAATAGAAAAAGTTAGATAAGGTCTTCTAAATATTCCCTGAGAATTAAAATTAAATTACAAAATCACTCGTTTTTATGCCGTATTTATTTTTTTTCACAGAGATAGAACTATTTGCATATTGGAATAACAAAATCCGTTTATTGTTGTGTTGAAAGTGAGATCAAAGGAAATAAAATGAGATAAGGATTAAAAAAATCCCATATAAGCAAACAGACGCGGAAGTTTGTCTAAGAATAAAATTTTCATGACGCACTTGAGCCGCTTCTGCAATGCATGCAATTTTTTGCTAGATCTATTACACCTCGATACACTGAAGGGCAATTTGATGTTGAATAACCAAGAACAAAAAGCCGCGACTTGTGGCGCTCGTGAAACTCGGCGGCCGTCAATTTGGCGAGAATATACATAATTCGATTGAATTGGAACAGCCTTGGCTCGATATCTATTACGTTTAACTGTCTAAGTAGCACTTTTCTCAATATTTTTTTTACTACGCGACTGCACAGGGTGTATATTGATCAAACATGCAACCCTTTGATATATTCCCACACGAGCCGCCAGACGGGCTTGAAATTCAATCTGGCGTGATGCGCCTGTCGCTGCTACTTCTCTGCTGGGAAATTAACTCAAAAATTTCCACCTTTCTCCTCGCGAGTAGTGTGACAACTTCAACTACTTCATAAGCACAACATCAGTTTCTTTCCACGTAGTGGAAGAGTGCGCTTGAGACTCGCAAAGAGAAGACGTTGCCCCACTGAATCACTTTCTGTCTGCATTGAAGCTAGTTTTTTTCTCAACGAGATTGAAATAATATTGAAATCTATAAAACTTCTGTAAGAAAAATGTTGACAATTATTTTGATTGGCTTGGCTTAATCATAAATTAATTTGGGAATATCAAAATTTCAACTCTATCACAAAAAATGTTTTTTTTTTAGTTTATTGATAATCTTTAGTTAATTAACAATTAATTCTGTAATTATTGTTGTCTTTACCTATATTTTCCTACTTTTTAAAAGTCTTGATTTGTTATGATGCTTATTTAAATAAAAATTATTTAATTCATATTACAAAACAGAAGATTAACCGTCAGAATTAAATTTTTACCATTTTCGATCTTTTTCATCCTTCTTTTTGAAATGTAGTCATCGAAGTTTTAGAAAGTATCACAAAGTGCATTGCTCGCAATGAAACAAAGTAGAACCGCGGTGGCGTGACGTTTAATAAAAGCGCTCATGAACAATTTCCCAGCCCTTCAAACTTCAAAGTTCGCTTCTTGATGCTCTATTTATCCTCATCGCCGGCACGTCAGTTCCTCCTGCTGACACTTTTTCATCAAAATCTCTTTTTGTTCGCAATCCATTATTATTATGGTTCGCCTGCTGCACGTCAGCACGTCAACTTGTCCCGAACACCCGCCAAATAATATCACACGGAAAGGTCAAGGACGTTTTATTTTTCCGCTTCGGTCCTTAGCCGAGGTGGCGTGCGCCTTAATTGCGGAATAAAGTCGTGCCCTTGCCACTGCCAAAGTGCCTCGCGTTGTTAATCGCAACCTGTTAGGCCTCCACGCGCCAGAGCAGGTCAGTGCCAAATTAATTGACATTCATCGGACGCCGCGTGGCTGATTCAAATTTCCTCATAATCGGATCCGGCGAAAGATGAAAGAAAGGGGTACTGTACTCGTCTGCATTTTAATGTGAATGGGACACGATGAATAACTAACAAAGTGCAGCTGCATTCGGCTTTTGATGCAGATGAGAATATTTCACTCATCAAAGCTGCATGAAAACTGCTTCATCGGGCATTGTTCTCTTCTTTTGGCGCGGCGGCGACCACGCTTCAGTGCAGTCTGTCTGCTGAGTAACTAAAAGAAAGAAAGATGAATTAAATTTCTTTTGTCGCTTTTCTAATTCTCAAAAGGATTAGCAGATTTTTATGGAAAACGTTATTACCATAAAGACGAAAAACGATACGACCGATTTAGCTTAAATCTCGCATTCTTGATAAAAAAAATTGCGAAGAAGATTCTGGCAGGAAGAGTTATAATCTTGCTTGACCTATTTGACCTATGTTAACAATGTAAGTAGAGGTTTTAACTAGATTGAAAATTTATATAACAATTTAGTGCAATAAAAAATAGCCTGATTCGATTATATTAGAGGAACTCTTAATTTAAAGAATTTAATATAATTTAACTTTTGCCGTTTTTTTTTCATAATTATTTTTCCATATTTCCCAGAAATATTTAATCAATGAAAATAGGTTAACAAAATGCATTTGACCCTGGAAGTTAAAAAATTATTTGTTTCAGAAAACATTGACTCCAAGTTTTCATTTTCATGCTCTCCTTGGCCGTTTCGCTTCATTTCACGAATCAAGCACAAGAAAGCCATTACTCGTCAGCCGCGCGCTTCTTTTTCCAATCAAGATAATTGCAGGTCGTAAATTCCGCGTGGCCAAACAAACCCGCAAATAAATAAATCATCGGAGTAAAAGCTTCCCGAACGAATTTGCTGCCTAATCAAAGAGAGTCGCGTTGTTCACTTGATCGCTCGCGTGCCCAGATTGCGTCAGTACACAATGCATTAGGTAGTGTTTGAACTGCAATTGATTATAGACAGGCTGCGGGTCGATCGCGAGACGCCCAACAATCTTATCTCGCTCCGGTTCTTCATCGGCGTGACGTTTGCGCTTCGTGCGGCGGGAAGCAAATTGGATCACACCGCAACTGCACTCGTACTTTTTCACGACGGGACTATTTTTAAACTTGACCCACATGCGGGCATGTCAATGAAATTAGCACGTATTTTTAGCAAATAGATGGTTAAATAAATATAGTTGCATCAACCAAAATAGAAAAAAATTCAATCATTTTTCATGCATGTTTATTTTTTAAAGATATATACGAGTTTCTTTTTAATTATTTGAAAAATTCATAACAATTTACAATTGTTTTATTATTATTATTATTAGTTACAATTGTGTTTATTAATGTATCACCGGGCATTCTCTGCCCAAATTTACCTTTATTTTACCTTTATAGGTAAACTCATTTGTTATTATTTTTTTATGGTCGTCCATGTCCATATTGTACAAAAAAGTTAATATATTTCAATTACATAAGAGAATTTTAAAGTAATTTTTTATCAAAAAATGCAATAACCGTTTCTTCGGGCTCATAAATTATAGCAACTTAAATTTAGAATTTTATTCCATCTTCTAAAACCTGAAATTGCACCGCTCTCAGTTAATTTTTGCAAAATGGCTTGATTTTGTTTTAGTGGAAAATTGGATGGAGCCTCGGTTTGTTTTACTTCCAATTAAAACTAATGAAATTCCAGATATTACATTCCATCAAGTTGCGCTCTAGGCATGCTGGTGAATTTGCGATTGCCCTAATCAGGGCAGTGTAGTATAAAACATACTTTGCCAGGGCAATTTTCCGCCACGAGCTCTTTCATCTGAAAACTGAATAATTAAACGCGATTTTGCAAAGTTGGCCGAAACAAAGCAGAGCAAATGAAAAATTCAACCCTTTGTCGGAGGGATGAAAAAAATAATGAATGCCCATTCGTACGACCGTCGCAGTTCGTCTCTCGCGCCATTTTTTTTATTATATTTGCAGCACCATGACCCAGAAAGAAGTAAAACGACAAGGCGAATCCCTCGATGGCGACGCCGAACGCGAGTTTTACGACGCGCAACCCCCACAGCGGCGGGCAAATAAATAAATGCTTGTATCCCCATGCCAAAAGTGTATCTAGTGCGTCCATGAATAAATTTACTCGCAATCCCCATGCAAATATTCTGTTTGTCCTCAATATCCCCGAACCAGAGGGTGTGTGTGTTGCGCACCTTTTGCACTTTTTTTTTTAGAAAATTATTGTTTTCCTATTCCAGTCATGTCTGCGCTTTACAGCCATGCAAGGGAACTGCCTTCAATAATAAGGAACGCTTTTGTTTGCAGAACTGGAACTGGGGTCGCAATGCGTCATAGAAATGGCAGACCAGCAGACCATTCTCCACCATCCCATCACCATCGACAAAATCGAGAGGTAAGTGCCCCAGCTATAAAATTTTATTTTACACATATCACTATCGGTGCAATCGGACTCTGAGACGTGTTGAAAATTTGAAAAGAGAAAGAAAAGGAGAAAAACGGTTCCGCACATTTGCGTCGATAGAATTGTTTAAAAAGTTTATTTTAAGAATTGAAATTATATAGTGAAAATAATAATTATAAAGCACGGAATGGGAATTCAGTTTACAACAGAAACCTTTAAAAATTGAAAAAATCTTAATTCTTTTATTAACTTTTTCCGATTTTCCTAACAAATTCGTGCAACACCCAGCACGTTAAAAAAATGTAATAAAACTTTGAAATATAACATCTCTTCAAATGCCCAATCTTTTACTATAATTGATTTATTAAATTTGGCAAATTCTAAAATTAAAAGTTGGAAAGCTTTTAAAACTTATTTTACATTGTTATCAATCGATTAATCTAATTTTTTCCTCCACGTTTTGAGTCGAGCAAGTTCAATATTATGTGATTGGGCCGGCCGGTCGCTTTTGATAAAAATTTACCATCACACCTCTGTGCCTGGTGCTCCTTTTGTTCTCGATGCAAGGATCGATTGCTCCCTTGCGAAATCACACAATGTTGCAGCCGCCGACTCTCTTTCATCTTCTCCGCCTTTTCCGCAAGGGAGACTGCACGAAAATAACGAGAACCGGTCCCGGCTTACTTTTTGTCCTTCTCTGGCAAAGCCGTTGAAAGTCATGATTTGCACCGTCGCCAGCATTGATCACTGCAAACAAACAAACTCGGCAGAGTTTTCCAATATGAAAATAATCCGACTCGGAAAAGAGCAGAAAATGAAATAACGAAAATAACACGGCTCCGCCCGGATTTGTTTGACGTCAGCTCGCGTCTTGAAATAATAATAATAATGTACAAGTATTGCACCCGGCGCACCGATCCGTGATTTCCTCCCTCAGGGCCGCAGCAGCAGCGAGTGGCCAGAAGAAAAGATTGTGTCTCGCTGGCGCAGCTGTGAGCAGAAATCGATGGTGATTCTATTATTCAACATTACCGCTCGCCTCAAAACCCTTTGCGCTCTCTCTTATCTCCTAGAGTCCTTTTTTCCGCTTTTTTTTTTTTGCGGCTGGTCGCGCCCGGCGTGAAGAGCAATTAATAATGTAATATTCACCTTTGACGGGAGGCTCGTGATTTTGCCTGTGAGTGGAAAATGATCGCCCACATCTTGAATTGATGAGATTTGCTGCTTGTTTCGCGCAAAAATGATTTTGCGGGGCGCACTCTGATGGAAAATTGCTTTTCTACCACCAAGAAGTAAATTTGGGGTGTCTTGTTCTGTCAAATCTCATTAAATACTTTTTTTGAAGCGGTATAATTTGAATTTTTGAACCTCAAATTTGGTGCTTTGAAAGTTATTGATTAAAAAAATGTAGAAAATAATTAAATTTGTTCAAGGTAACGGCTTTATAAAGAGTAACCACCTCTATTTAAAAAAAGAGTGAACAAAATTTGTGTGCAAATATAATTTTTTTTTTTTGAAAAAATTAAAATAATTAGATAGTTTTTATTTAAGCAAAGCTACTGTTTAACCTTTTTAATTATTTAAAATTAAGCGTTGTAATTTTATTTTGCTTAAAGTTAAAAATTCAATAAATAAGAGTTCCTTTGTTTTTAAATTTTGGTTAGCGTCCAACTTTGGCTAGAATAAATTTTCAAATAAAAAATATTACCATAGTTTTTTTAGCACATTAATTTTCTAAAGTCATAAGCTTATCTCTGCAATAAATATCAACTGTGGAGAAATTTATTCATAAAAATTCTCAACGTATTGGCAATATCTCTGAATAATTCACTTCTTTGAGCTTTTCAAACGCGATGTTTGGCCACACTGGCGAACTCTCTCGAAGCGATATCCGCAGAGTAATAATAATGAAATATGGAACTCTGAGGCTAAATTTTTATGCGCGCTACAAAGCTGCCTCCGAGAAAGAAGGCGTTTATCATCAAAGGGTCACAAAGGCAATTTTTGTCCAAAAATGGCGCGCGGTCGTGAATTTTTATCCTGAAAAAGAGACAGAAAGAGAGAGATTGAAAAAGAGATGGTTATGGGTGCGTTAATAAAGCTATCGCGCGGGGCATGAAAACAGACAGAGGAATGGCAGCGTGCATTGTCATGTCTCGCGAGAGCTTTTTTAATGGCAAACGCATCTGCCGGCAGTGTCATTTTCGCACGCGGCGAGAGTTCATCTCCTTATGAATATCGATGAATATGAAGCCTGAATTTATAATAATTTGTAAAGCTAGAATTTCCTAAAAGCGACAAGAAGATAAATTTTTAAATTGTATCAGATGAACGATTAGAAATAAGTTAATTACAAATCTGTGAGACTTTTGATTTTATGTTTTTTTTTTGCACATAAACTGGAAATAAATAGTGCTTGACGATAAAAAATATGATCACGTACAAGCTTATTAGTTCTTTAAAAATTAATTTGAGAGTTTTTCCTATACTTCTGTATAGTGTTGAATGAATAATTAAGAAAAAAATCCTGCAGTAAGATTGTAAATTGCCGTGGCACCTTTGAAATTACGCGATTGCCGGGCGGCAGATTACGCGTGCTCGGCCAATCGTAAATTTTTCGCTACGACCCGCAGCAACTATATACCCTGGCAAACTATACACCAAACACCTCTTTTCCCAACCTATATAAAGCCTAGAATTTATTCGGCGTGCGCCTTCGGGGTGTTAAAATGCTCGGCAGAATAAATCGCAAAAACCGCGCGCACCCTTCCTAAATAATTTTTGCAAACGTATTCCTTTTGTATATATTTTCTGCGCGGCTTGGTAAGGCTTCCCTTGCCCGTAAGTAAGTCCGTCGTATTTAAAAAACACGGCCAGCCATGGCGCGGTGCAATCAATACTCTTCCCCGCGAGTGTGTGTGAGCCTTTTATTCATTCGACCCTGGCGCGAATGAGTCGGCGACGCGGCGCGGATTAATAAATAAGCCTGGCGAAACCGAATCAGCAAAATTGCACCCGCGTGCCTCCAATTATTCACCGCTGAGGCGAGGCAAGTCGACGCCCTTTGACCGCCACTTTCCCGCATCGCCACTGAATAATGGGCAGCGAAAAATCACCAGCGACTTTTTGTTGTTGTGTGATTCGAATGACCTTTTTCCCAACTGACCAGTTTTACGTACGTCGTTGCAAACAGCCCATAAAAGAGCAAAAAAGAAGCGAGTGCAGTAAACTTTCTTTTAAATTTTAGCACAGCGTTAAAACAGCCTTCACTTTATGACAAAAGCATGGTATTATAAAAATACAAAATTTATTTTCATGTCCTTATGTATGTGAATTTTTTTATGGATTAGTTAAATTAAACGCAGTTATTCCTTCCAAAATTCAGCGTGCAGAAAATTCAACTATAAAAAAATTCTTTAATGTTGAAGTTAAAGAACCCCTCATAATTGTGTTAAAATTGCTGGCAGATGCTTAATGTTTTTTTCCAGAGTAAAAGATCAGAGAATTTTGAAAATGAGACTTTGATCTCTGTAAATTAAAAGCGGTCAATGCAGGTCAATGTAAAAAGGAATCCATATCTTGTCAAAAAAGAAATATAAACTCTTTTAAACGATTTCAAATATAAAAAAGATGAAATATTAAATTTTGTTAATAATAAACTCATCACACTTCATTCCTTACATTTTTTTTGTCAGTGACTCGTTGGTAAAGAAACGAAAAATAATTTTTTTTGTTTAAATAAATATCTAATAGAGTTGAAATGTAAATAAATAAATGCAGTTTTAAATAAGTTTTGCCTGCATCACTGAATTGCTACCCAGAGATGAAATAAATTCTGCTCCAAACTGCAAATACTCTCTATGAAACAGCAGTTTTTGCAGCGTTTGTGCAAACACCAGAAATCGCTGGATATAATTCTGACGAGCGGTTTGCATTTATGCGCAGTCCTCACTCGCTGGGCTGGCTAGTCGGAGATCAAAGCTGCAATGCAAGATTAATGAGTTCGTTTGCTCGGCCCAATCAAAGCTCGGTCTGGGCGAGAATCGAGACAAGGCCCCCGGCTAATAAATAAATAAACACCGGTGTGGAGCTGATGTAACTGCGGCCGGTTTGGCCATCATCGCAGGCAATTACGCGAGAGCCGGCGAAACTCACTTTCTCGCACTGTGTAATTCGGCCGGCAATGAAATTGCAGTTAAAGGCCTAAGCAGCAGGGCCAGCACAAAATCACGAGGAAGTCGTGCGAAATAATTCACCGGCCCTTTTTCTGCAAGTTTGCTGGTCGAATGAAATTGGTTAATAAAGTTTGGCACAATTTCCCAAAATTATTGTTATTTTCTAAAATAAATAAATGTATAAAAATATAATAGCTTTAAACCTAAGTTAATTTACATGAAAATAGGTGAAACAAAAATTTTCATTTTTATAAAAATAATTTAGGCAGAGAAAAATAAATGTGTATTAATATAATTTGATCTACAATTTTTCCTGATTTTGATTCTGTTTGCAAAGTCATTTCGCCACAAATGAATTGTTTATATATTTAAGTGAACAACTCCAAGTGCTATAACATTCACCTTGACACTTTCTGCAAGTATAATTGGCTTGCATGACAAAAGACATGCTAGACTAAATGAGCGTAATAACAAGAGCCTCGCATGCCTGACATTGCAAACTCAACACCTGTATAACCTCCTTACTTGGCCCATTGATAAAAAAAAAAAGGAATTTCAATGTTCAAAATTGCATGCATAATTTATCCTGGAGCAAATTTTCAGTTCCTTGCTAGACTTTGCTCTTGGGTAATGGAAAGGTAATTTTTTTAAGAAAGCGTAATTGATATGAATTTGGCTGGAAACAGCAGGAGCCACTGAAATTATGGCCTCTTGAGGAGAAACGATGGCGGTCGTTTTCTATGTTAGGATAATTACCCATAGTACATGGACTGGTTATTTTGAAGAAGCCGTCTAATCATTTTGCCTCCTTGGCGCCAAACTAGCGCGAATTGCTGTCTGCCAGCTGTAAAGAAACATTCATTAACAAATAGAAATAAATATTATGAATTATTTCTATTGAAAAATTACTAATTTTTTTTGCGTTGAAAGTTGAAAGTATGATAAATTTAAGTTATCATTTAAATATATTACATAATTTGGTTCCAAATAATAAGTAAATAATTAATTAATAACAAGCTTTCTTTCATTAAAAATATGTTTATATATTGAAAACGAAATCAAAGCTCAAGTGGATCAAATAAATTTATGTTAAAATGGTTTTATTTTCAATTAATTGTGTGCTACAAAAATTGTTACAAAAGGATAAAATCTATGCGATTCAAAAGTGATATATAAAAACGAGATTATTGCGAGATTCTTTACTTATTTTTCAAACCATTGTAGCATAGATAGCGAGCATAGCTGTAAGATTCGTTAAGTAATATCCCAACTGGAAATAATTATGAATATTGCTAAAAAAAAAATAGAAAAAAAAATACACAACTCGTCTTTGAATGTGTCTACATGGTAAAAATATTAACAATCCTAAGAATTTTTGCTGAAAATAAATCAATATTGATGGAATTTAAAAAAGTGCATTTTTTTCTCAAAGATTTTTTGTATGCAAACAAAGGGGAAAAAGCAAAACAATAAAAATCAACACTTGAAATAAATTTTTCTTTTAAAAATAAAACGTTTTAAAAACATAATGTGCTCCAAATAACTAAGTATTGATTTTGCTGATTTTCCCATGTAGCATTTGCTGTATAAAATCCGAGCCCTTTTGCATAATGAGGTATTGACATCCCTGGTTCCATTTTGCGTGCTCTGTGAAAGGTTCATCATCCTGAGCCCAGTCCTTTAGCCCGAGGCTGCACTGGAAACAAATGACACGATCCCCACAACCGGTGTAAAAAAATCCGGCCTTTGCAAGGACATCAGGCGTTTGCGAAAGTCCTTTAGGCCAATTTTTAAAAGATTCCATTCGCTTCAAGATTAAACTTCTCTCTGGGTGCCGCGGTGGATTCCATTGCTGGATACTCAAATCTGAGGGTGTTATGAAGGGATCGTTTGCTAACATGCGCATTTTGTAGTTTTCAGGAAAACCAGTTAAAGGACTGAAGGGATTTGAACCAATTTTATTAAATCCAATTCCATCGCTATATGCTTCCGTTTGCTCGTGGCCAATTTTAATGTTGACTACGCTATCTGGCTGCTTTAAAAATGGGCAATTCGGATTCCACCGAATGTGTTCCGTTTTGGGTGTATCCCCCTCTTCCCACCCGCGCACTTCCAAATTGCAATAAATGCAGCGAACACTGTCCTCCACACCGGCGTAGTAAAACCCGGATGCGGCCAATTCAACTGGCTTCACAAATTCCCAATCTTTTTTCTGCAGCAGCGAATATAATCGGTGCGACTCAAATTTGTAATTTACGATTTTTGAAATATTTCCAATTGGGATATTGCCCGACGAATCGTGATTGATGCTACAACTCGATTTCATTTGTAAGATTTCATTTGCATTTTTGCCTTTCAAACAGTCCAATTCGCTGGTCTTGAATTCACATTCGCAAAACCAACAAATTACTGAGTTGGTGGTTTTCCTGTAAAAAAGTCCAGCTTCGGCCAAATGTCCTGGTTCAACTTCAAAACATGCGGGAAAAGTAAATAGGCGGTGTAGGGCGATGTTCAATCGCAATGGTGCGCAAATTTCATGGTTTATTGACCGCAATCTAAAAATAAGTAATATTTCAGTATCAAAAATCATTGCTTATAATTAATAGCATAATTCTTCACTTGTACTAATAATAAGAAATATATGTGTATAATTCAAGCTCTTTAAAGAATAATACATGATTAGTATCTCATCAGCAGTAATTAAATAAAAATTTACTGACCACTATTCAGTGTCTGCGATATTAATTAGTATTCTTGGCCTGACCCCAAAAAAGATATAATTTCAAAGTGATTCTGATAACTTATTGAGTTCTGACCAATACTTGCAATGGGTTCCGAATGATTCAGATTATAAAAAACTATTTTGTGTTCATGTTATAAGCGGTTATAAGTATATGAAAACAATTTCTTTTTGCACCATCGCTTTTTTAATAGCAGCTAATAGATAATACATATTAAGAAATATATTATATTCAACTTACTTATTAGATTGTCTTGTAGGTTCATTGGAAACGGGTTTGCTTGCTAAAATTGCCATTGTGAGTTTGCAACATATTGACTCGCTGGTGGTTAAGGTGATGCGTGGAAAAGTTTTCTTCTGCTCTTTTATACATACTGTATACGCCCTTTCACGATATGATGAAAAAAAGCTAAAAAAAAGTCTTAGCTTTAAAAGTCTATTCAATTCAATTCTAGATTTAATTTTACGGTGTATTATATATTATTTAGATGTTAAATTATTATTTAATATTATTAGAAAATACTTTTATTTCCCATTATTTATGTTGTAAAAATATTTTAAAGAAAAAAATGCTTACCGCCGTGATTAAATTGCAACTCACCCAATTTGCAACCCTTTAGGGCTTTTGAAAAACGTCATAATATACTCTATTAAATTTTTATATCATTCCAATTTTCAATCGCAAAATATTTCAAAATTCGACTTGTTAGCTGCTTTTTGCTCAATTTTTTTTCGCTGGATGGTGTTTAAATTTGCAGAAAGACGCAAGGAATATGAATATTATTAATTTACTTGTATATAATTTATTGAAATTAAATATGCTAACTACTTAGGTTCGGTCCATGATTATGTAAAATAGTTTTTGCAAATTATTTACTTTTTTATCAGCAATATCCCCCTTGAAAAAGATTGTTTCGGCGAATTATCTTACATTATATTATTTTTCTTTTCCGTTTAATTCTCACAATGGGTAATAAAGAGGAATTTTGGACATGAAATTCATCTGGCGACTCTGAGGCGCTTGTAGAGAGGCGGACGAGAGGGTGACTCGCCACTAAATGGAAACCGCTCGAGGCCAGGCTTTTGCTGATTTGGAGGTAGGGATGAGTATGCTGATGCGTGAGATCAAGAAAGGCAATAGAATTGGGTGCACATATATGCAATACGCACTGCTTGCCTCCATTATTTCACTTGGAATTGAAACCCTGAAAAGTCTTACTTCTTATTTATCAGTTGCGTTAATCGCGGCAACCCATTCCTTATATCTACTTGAAAATTAGTTCGACTTTTTTATCGTTCGGGTTCTTATTCTATTTTGAGAGTATTATACATTTTTCAATTAATAATATTCAAACGTTTAATGATGAGAAATGAAATTGAAATTTTCTACAAGTTTGTATGAAATTAAGTTCTTGGCTTATGGATGTGATTATAAATATATACAAGCTAAAATTAATTTTTTTTATAATGTTGCACACAATATTATAAAGATATAGATCAACATCTTTTTTAACCAACGCATTAGAAATATGAAAAAAAAAATGTCGAAGAAAATTGTCCATTTACATAATGAAATGTAAATAGCCACTATTATTTTCCACATACACTCAACTGCGACCTTTATAATCAGCCGCACGCAACTTTTTTGCCTTTTCCCCGAAAATAATATACATTCGTTTGCCCATTTTCGATCTGCGCCTCACGTGCATCGCTTCCTTCTTCTCACAAATGGCCTTCAATCGTACAATGTTCTTTCTTATATCTCAGTAAAATCAATTTGAAGCACTTCTTCATTATTCTTGTGGAGAAAGCGTTTTCTTTGGCGAGCCCACTTATTATCGTCGATTGTCGCCACTCGAAAGGTGCTTACTTGGGCCGAAAAGCGCAAGAGTGGTTAATTGTCCACCGCAAAAGGCTTTTGGCGCGCGACTGCTTCTCATGGTAAGCTGATATTTCAGCAGCCACAAACGACACCAGAGAGAGGACAAATGAGTCGCATCAAATAGACAAAATAAATGGATCAGCTTAAAAACAATTTGCAAATCAATGTCTTGAGAAATCCACTAGTTTTAAACGAAATTAATAATATTTTATTGAATTTTGTTTTATTTTACATATCAAAAAATAGTGTTGAATTCATTTAAAGACTTTTAAATAACTTTTTCAGCTGCCATTGATTTCAGGCACCTTTTTGTCATTTGAAATTTCTCCAGTAAATAAGACAATTCATTTTTCGTCTCCACTCTTTTTTCACATTGCAAATTCACTCTCTGCTTCTTTTCTCAATGAATTAGCGGCGTGGTGCTGCAGGCGCGAAATAGTATTACGTCGGTGCTGGCGAACAATGCGACTAATCCCCGAGGCCGCTGGCAGTCTCAAGATCGGTGCGCATAAGCCGAAGGTCTAATTGAATTAAAAGTTGCTGTTGTCTGTTTGCGCGAGAGAGCGAGCGGCGTGACAGCGTCGCTCCGGCCCATTAGGGCCGAGATTGAGATTAATTGCGCGCCCCTGCCTGTGCTGACATCGAGTTTTGCGGACTTTTTGCGAGCACGCCCCGCTTGCACGAGAGCTGCGTCCTTTCTTTCATATTCTAATTCTGGCGGAGGAAATTGTTTCCCTTCCGACAAAAGCGGCTTTTGAGTGACGGTTTGATTTGATGGCGAAAGAGAGTGTATAGTAATGTGCTTTCTGCGTGGCACCGCCATCGATTATGCCGTGAGTTGCGAGGAAAGGGTACCAAATCAAGATTCGGCCTCATAATTTAAGCATGGAAATCGATTGCTCAATGACTTAATCCATAAGTCAAACTAGGTTATTAGTCTCCTATCATAAAACGGCAAAGAGTTGAGGTTCAATTTTTGTAATTAGAAATTTTGTTTACCGGTGTATTTGATTTTATAATGAAATTCAGTCTTTGATATTATTTTAAATCTTATGTAATTATTTTGTTAAATTTATTTATTCGTCGCTTCTTTTTCCTTCATTTGTTTTTGACAACTCAGGCTATCAATTTGCATAAGAAAGAGGTTTCATTGATGTGATTTATTAAATAATTGTGTCTGCTCTATAAACTCATGAAAGTGCTGGATCATAAAATATGTTTACCAAAATTTTTGTTTGAAACTTTTTTCATGCATAAAACAAACAGTTTTGCGCCATTTTAGTGCAGGTTTGCAGCAGCACATCATTTTTCAAGCGGCTCATCCATCCCTCGCCTGAAATAATGGACGGATAAAAACCGTTGGGCTGATGCAGCTTGATTGATTGCCCCTTTCATTCATAATTTACCTCGCCGCTCAAAAGCAAAATCGTGTGACTCGCGCGAATCGGCGGTTCTACATGTGCGGGCATTAATGAGGCTGATTAATATCAGGTCACTGGGAACTCTATGACCTTTGTGGTTTGCACAGTACAATCAATTTGTACTGGGTTGACTGAAAATTGGCTGTTTAAAATCTAGGTCAGATTATACTGCAGAGGAAATAAAATCAGATTTAAGTAGAAAATAAATTTAAATTTTTATTTTAATAATCAATATTAATTAAAAAAAAGAATCATGAAAAGTTATATGGTTTTTTTTAAAAGGAATTTGATTTTTTGATGTGCAAAGAATTTAGTAAATATTCAATAAAAAGGAAAGTTTTCAACAGAAGAAATTTTATTTAAGGTTTGAAAAAAAAATTGTGACATAAATACAAGTTAAATAACGCAGCCGTGAATGAGCATCACAGTTTCTCAATCCTTTCATTTCGCGTAGCGCAAACTTCCATACAAATGAATTATTCGCATTAAAACTCGGAGTCACCTAAGTGTGAATAATATCAAAAGGTCTTTCTGCGGACAAAACTGGCGCATAGAAAGGCGAATCAAAAATATATAAACGCGCCGAGGGAGAAATAATATTTTTCATTTTAGCAGAGCAGATGCTGTGTAGGTCCTGCAGTGGCGGGTTTCGCTCTCTGTTGGCGATGAATTCCCGGACCCAGGACTCGTGCGGCCTCCTTTAAATGGGTTACGGCTCCGAAAAGTGCGCCGTTTGCTTAAATAATGCACAACCGACTTGCTTTTGTCGTGCGCTGAGGAGTCGTGGTGAATTTTTTAGCATGCGTGCAGCGTAAGATTTCGCTTTCGCACAGTCTTCGGACACTTTTGCATCGCCTGCTGGCAAGAGCAATTTGGACCTTTTGCATTATTAACGGTGCGGATCCGCGAAAACCACCCGCAATTTTCTTGCTAAGCACCACTGGGAAAGACGAAGATGAGCCGTTTTACATGAGAGTTCTTTACAAAAAAAGAAAGCATTGCTGAGAAATAAGTTTTCGCGTTTTTTTTTTTTTTTTAATCATAAAAAAGATTACATTTTACCTAATTTGAAGAAAATCATATTTTAAGATTGAATATAATTATTTTACGAAATTTATAAACCTTTAAAAATTTTTATAGTTTTTCTCTTTTGCTTACTCCTATATCAGGAAAATGTTTTTTGGATCATATCCAAAGAATAAGGAAGTGATCATAAAAGTTTTTTGAAATAAATGCGTCATTTTATTATACAATCAACATTTTTTTTCTCCATTTTCGTCCCTAAATAGCACAAATTTTATTTTATTCTCATTTGTAAACTTATCATTTTCTCATTTTCTTCTTTTTCTTTTGTTTCAAAACCCTAAGTCATGCAATGCGTATATAATCGACTTTTCTTGAAAGAAAAACTTCTAGAAAAGTTTCGCCAGCAACATGTTTTAACATTTTTTTTCATTTGGCAACAATTTTGTGCACAAAACAAAAAAACTCTAAAATTGCTCTACACAGTTCTCTCATTTACGCAGCGGCGATCTTGGCAAGAGTGCTGCAGCCTCACTAATCAATTTATGCTGCCGTGCCCAGTTGCTTGAATGGTGTATGTGTACGTAAAAGAGATTGGAAAAGGAAAACGCTGTTCTCGTCAGCAGCCCTAGAGAGAGACGAACGGGTTGAGACGGAGCAAGAGAGGGACGCGCCCTTTGCCCTTTTGAGTGGAAAAGAAGAAGTAGCACGGAGACCACACACGCGAGTGCGACGAAATTCGATTTGCCTGCGAAGAGAGAGAAAAACTCCCGCGTCATCTCCAAGTCTCAAAACATTTTCTCTTTTCTGTATATAAAGAAAATAGTATAGAAAGAAGAAATCATTAATAACAGCTGTTTTGACTTGTGAATTACATTAATCAAGGCGCAGCAGGGGTCCCGAAAGTAATTAATTTGCAAAGGTATGTCTTGTGCGGCAAACTAGCAATTTCCGCCGCAGCCCTTCAAATAACGTGTGCTGCCCATCACATTCGATCAAACGACCCTCTGCAGAATCGATTGAGACAACACGTCGACCTCGAATCCCTCCCTCA